GTATGTCTGGCATGTTTTGTGCATTTTTACGAATAAGACCGCTTATGCAATCTTACGCTTTGGAATTTTTAGTTATTTTCCTTAAGCCCTGCAGGATGTAGGGGCCATACACAACTCTACCGGAGGGTCAAATGTCTTTGCATGTCTCCATAGGTTGTTCTTCTATTGCAAACATTTATGGAGTATTCTGATTGTATTTCTTGGAATCACACTGTCACTGATATGTCGCCAGACTTCTGATATCTCCCCTTCTGCTACAGTTGTCATGTGAATAAATAATAGAAAATTGAGGTTGGACGAATAGTTGAAAGTTTTGCTTTATGTCGGCTTAATTTCTTGATTGATATACTTTCTATTTTTGCTATTGCCTCTTGTGCTGCAGGAGTCCCACAATGCTTAGACAGGTTTTCCCACAACTTTTACATCTAAAGAAAGAGAGGAGATTTAATAATTTTCGTTAAGAATAAATAAAGCAGTCTATATGATTTAGATTGGAAAAGCTAATAAATCCAATATCTCATGTTTTATGTAAAAAATGTTTTACTGAATTTGGTATATAAACCAACTAATAAAGGGGTTTAGTCAGAAAATTACTATACAATATAGACCGGTATGAGTGAAATGTTAGGTGAACTTGTTAACCCTTTGATTCAATACGCAAATAAAAGTGAATGAGCAATAGTATGTTACAGCAATGAGTATATATCCTCACTGATTAAAAATAATCTAATTGGAGGTGCATACACTATTTTGAAATCGTAAGGGGTAAGTAAATAGGCAATTTCGGCAAATGGGCAACTACGTACCGTACTGATTTAATAACTTCGTAGTATTTGGCAAAAGCTGGCTTTCCCACATGTACTTAACAGTGCAATGCCCGGGTGTGATATACAACAATAGTATTTACCTTACTTTTTTCCGATTTCTTTTTACCTTCAATTTTCCAATATATCATTAAAATCGACAACAACTGTCAAAGCAGGAACGAACACCATTAGTGCTATGCCTTGAAAGCAGCACACATCCGCTCGTTTTCGTCTCGTCAAGTATGTGCATTGGAGCGTGCTATCGGATACGATCTTCGGCCAAAAATGCCTGAGTTGCGCATCATGTTGTTTAATGTCATTGGTGTAACCAATTGGTGTAACCAACCGAACTAAATCTTAAAAAATATCTTTCAAGTATACATTATCAAAAACTGTTTGCGGCCCTTTTTACAATTTCCAAAATGCAATGCGGCTCTCGAAAACCCATGAGTTTGGTACCACTGATCTATTCTAGACGATTCAAGCATTGCTTTGGAAAATAATATCACTTCAATCAAATTGAAAAAAATTTGGCTATATTAAATACAAAATCGTTGTTATCATAAAGGTAAACTAATTCAGCCACTCGAAATATATTGGCCTTCACAAAGCAATGGAGGCAAAATTGAGAGTTCATGAGCTATGAACTTATGTTCTTTTCTTTGTCTTGAACTTTTCATACTCCACAGCCGCTATTAATTATTTTTTAATTTTAAATACCATGTGATGGTCATACATATCTTTAACTTGTATATTCTGATGATGTGTTATCTCAATGTGTCAAACTATCAATTAGTGTGCATATTTTGCTTCCAGATGACATAAATGTATTGTCTTGTTTATTACCTCAGCTTGGAGTATTGACAAGAAAGAGGTGCCAGTAAATTACGTAATTTTTTTTAACTCTGTTATAATCAGAATCCACAATTAATGGGAATTATAAACAGGCAACAACCAATGAGAATTATATGCGAAATCCCTCAGAATAAATTTGTCTTCTAAAATCGGAGGAAGGCAAAACATATAGGTAGTTTCCATTCACACAAGTCTTTCAAGAAGACTTGCTCGAGCCAAACTAAATGAGCATGGCCAGGTGATCGGTAAGGCTGCAGGTTGAATTCAGCCCTGTAACCTCCTGCATAGAAGATAATATTAATTAGTGGGCTATGAGCTGAATTCCTAAATTTAAACAAACCTATCTACGAGGCATTATGTACCAGCAATGTTACCTACGATTAACTGAATATGTAATATGTCTAATTAATTCACCTACAAAAGCAAGTTCGATAGGTGCAAACTTTGTGTTATGGAATTGTATCACAGCACCGTTAGGAGAAGTAAAAACAGTTTTTCTGTCCTGTATGACACCCTCTTTAAATGAAATTTCAATGTTTAAGCGCAAACATTAAAATTACTAACTTTGAAACTTGTTATTATCTGCAAAATGTTCCACACAAATCTTTCCGCTATCGCGTTTGTAATCTTCTCTGATAAAAAACGTCTATGATGACCAGAATTGCTCTTTACAGCTTGTCTGCCATTCCAGTTTTCCAAGTTAGTGAAACTTCTTGGATATAGAGATTATTTTCTTTCGTTACAGTCGCAAAAAGGCAGGTACTACACGTAAGGAAGGCGCCAAGTAGCAAAAGCGAGCTGAAAACGGTCGCGAAGGGCGACGAGAAATATGTGCATTGGAGCGTATCATGAAATACAATCTTTCGCTTGTAGTCTTACGGAGTGACGTCAGAGTTGCCTATCATGTTGTTTACTGTCATTGGTGTAACGTGCACTGTGTATAACGCGCTGCACACTTAAATGCAGTAAATATGTATCACATTTTGATTGAAAATTGGTGTAACTTTTACTTTATATTAATGGAATAGTCCTATGGAATTATAGGCTAGTATTGTAATTCAGTAATTGGGAGTGGAAGTGGTGACTCCTCTTCGGCCCATGGGCCGGGGCCACGGCCCATCAAATTGGGCCTAGGCCCATCAGGCTATGGGCCGCGGCCCATCAAGTTGTGTAAAGGAACTATTCACTTGGCTAACACAGACAGTCCCCAAACTCATAATACAGTAATAGGCTAGAACTATAATGTAAAAAATCTGAACAAAATTTTGCCCTAACCCTAACCTGGTACACATACTACAGGAGTTTATTTTTTGGTTCGAATATTGACAATTTTGTAAAAATTGAAAATTTCGGTAAGATAATTGAATTTTTCCTGACGGGGCCGCGGCCCATAGCTTGATGGGCCACGGCCCATGTGGCCCAATTAGATGGGCCGTGGCCCCGGCCCATGGGCCGTAGTGGAGTCACCACTCCTGTAGGTAATTGGAGCAGTGGGAACATTTTGGTCATTTTCGTCTATTCTTAAACGTCGGGCTATCCTACCCAAAGCGACTAAGATAGTCACTTTGATCCTACCGTCCTAATTATTGAACCAGTTACTGTAAAATACCGGTACGGTAACTGCTGAAATCTTATTATCCTGTTATCGGAATTACTGAAACATTAGCAAATTCAGAGATGGCTTAACTCATCCACCTGAGCTGTCTGGCTGGACTACCGGTATATTTCCTAAATGTGACTAAATCTTGGGCAGAAATACCGGTAGTGGAAATAACAATAAGACGGTTCCTTTAATTACAGAATTACCGGAACGGGGTGGAAAATCTACATGGACCTTTAGATGTCTTGCAAATGCCATTTCATATACCGGTACCTCCATGTAATTTTTGTATTCAATCGGCAAACTTGGGGGGGGGGGGCAGTGGTAAAAATAATTTTCCCTAATTACCGGAACGTACCGGTACTCTAAATTGCAGGAACGGAGTGGAAAACCCACATAAACCTACGGGAACGGACCTTTAGATGCTTTGCAAATGCCATTTCATATACTTCCATGCAATTTTTATATGAAATCGGCAAACTTGGGGGGGGGGGGGGGACAGTGGTAAAAATAATTATCTTTAATTACCGGAACGGAGTGGAAAACCTACCGGAACGGACCTTTAGAGGTCTTGCAAATGTCATTTCATATACTTCCATGCAATTTTTATATTAAATCGGCAACCTTGGGGGGACAGTGGTAATGACATTATCATTTTTGTATCGTTCGCGGGCCACAATAGTGCCAAGAATAGGTAATTAGTGCAATACAAAACAAACACTTTATTGTCCAAACACATTGATCATTATTTGTCATTTATCAAGCTAACATATGCTAAAACTACCAAATAAAGCTAAATATACTGTGCAAAAATCTTACTGTAAATACATTTACTGCAGTAGTGTAAGATTTCAAATTCCTCATCTTGGAAAAAGTGCCATAAGGAAAAAATACTGTTTTAGATTGTCACTGACACAACTTGCAGACATATTATTAGGCAAGCATTGTGATATTTTATCTGCCATATCCAGTCAAAAATCTGTTAGTCAACTTTCTCTTCAAACTCATGTTTAAAAATTACCTCATAAATGACTGAGATTAATTGATTACCTACCGAATTTCACCAAATTTGAGATACAGGAGGATAATTACTATATTTTCTGACATATTGGCAGCATTTTTTTGTAACACTGTTTAGGCTGGTTGCAAAAAGAAACACCCCGCAAGGAATTATATTGTTCGGCCATTACATTAATATTTAGTTATCAGGCATACCCAACCTATAGGCTGATAGATTTCCATTCAGCCATTGGATTTTTAGTTTACTATGAAGAATATTCTGTTAGCATAATATTCCCGACCAAAAAGATAGAAAGCCAGCTAACAATTTAGACTAGCAAAGCACATTATTCCTTCGCTAGTTGCCTCAGCTAACCATGACACTAGTCAATTCATTGACATTCAGACATTAGTGATGTAACAATATGTCAAAAGATTTTTCTAGTTATTTTTATGAAGAAACAATGCCAAATGCGATTTTTGTTCACTCTCGCGCAAATGCGACGCGGGCCACAGATAGTGAAGCGGCGGGCCAGGGTTTGGACCACCCTGGACTAGAGTCTAGCATTAAATTCATACAGCAATATCGGAATACGCGCAAATCTACCAGATTAATGTCCCTCAATGTCTGTTTGTTTGATTTGAGTGTTGTCATATTTGGTGGTGTCTGGGGTGGGAATTTAATATAAAAGTTACGCATAATGTACACATCTAGTCTATCAAATCTGCAAATGTATCTATATCTTTATTTGCACATAGACTAGCTTCAGAGCTCGGTAGTGTATACATTTTCAGTTCAAAACATGAGTAAAGCTAGACATCTGGAAGAAGGTGAAATAATAGAGGAGAAAAATGAGAAGAATAAAGGAGAACCTCCAGAGAAGAAGAGCAAAATTGACAAAGAATCCATGATTTCTACAAAAACTGGAGGAGCATATATTCCTCCGGCTCGTTTACGAATGATGCAACAGCAGATTACTGATAAGAGCAGGTTTGAAACAGTAAAATATTATGACCATATTATTCGAATTGATGCTATGGTTAGCACTTGTGGTATTTCAAGATCGAATTCCAACCACTGAATCGCCCAGAAATATAATGGTGATTAGGTGGTATGAGTACTTTAACATTTATGTAAGCTTCGGACTTCAAACAGGCACTTCTATCCCAATTCCCAACTATTTATATTCTATTGGTATGCTCTTCTGCCTATAAAATTTTTGTTTTTGATATACCTGTGTGATGTACTAACGGTGAAATATATCTTATATACCCATGCCCACTCCCACACCATGTTGAGAGCACCTTATCTTCATTTTTGGCACGCTGAGTGGAAGTTCAAATATTTTCAAAATTTTGTTATTTTCTCTTACACAATGCTGAAAGTGTTACACAGCGTTCCAATATGCCAGGGTGATCCAAACCCAGGCTTCATTATCTATGGCCCGCGCTGCCATTGCGGGAGGGTAAACAAAAACTCTAACAAAATAAAATTTGGTGTTGTTTCGTCATAAAAATAACCATAAAATAATTCCTGCTGGGTGGTTTTCCGCAATCAGCCTAATTAGTATTACAAAAAATGCTGCCTATATGTCAGAAAATTTAGTAATTACCCTCCTGTATCTCAAATTTGGTAAAATTCGATATTCAATCAATCTGCAGTTATTTATAAGAACTCTTTTGGCCCGCGAACACATCAAAAATAATAGTGTGCCCTGCGAGGCCACCAACCTTGGACCACCCTGCTATATGCGCTTTGAAGCATTTATTATTAAATTAATGGAATTTCTCTGTTGACAGCAAAATAATGATTTAATAATAATACTGAATTTTTCAATATTTTGTAGTGAGCAATATCAGAGAATAAGTTGGGAAGCTCTGAAGAAGAGTATCAACGGTTTGATCAATAAAGTGAACACGTCAAATATATCAAGCATTGTCAGAGAGTTATTTCAAGAAAATATAGTTCGTGGAAGGTAAAATGTGCCACTGTGTGTCGAGTTCTTTATTTAGATAAACTGTTATATCTAATGCCAATACTATAAAATTTTAGATGCACCTATATTATTGTCACTATATTCGTCATGTTATGATATTGCTCATTAAGTCTTTTTGATCACAATTGCAAATTTTTAAAAGCATATCCAAATAATTTGGACAAAATTGTTGTTGAATTAAAAACTTTTCACATGTTTTCAGGGGAGTGTTGGCCCAATCTATATTGCAAGCTCAAAATGCTTCACCAACCTTTACAAAAGTATATGCTGCTCTCGTTGCAATCATCAACACTCGTTTTCCACAAAATGGAGAGTTAATATTAAGAAGACTTGCCTTGCAATTCCGTCGGTCTTATAAAAGAAATAGAAAGGTAGCTAGCCGAAGTCCGTAAATTTATCTCCTGTGAAGATAGTGTTGAATAAACTTTTTTTACAATTAATTTTACAATAGGCCTAAATAATATTAATTTTGTGTTAGTCAAGTTGTCACAGCTGACTCGTAATATTCGAGTCTTCCTAATAAATTACTATAGTGAGAGATATGGTGCTGGTTTTTGTAAAGCAAAAAGGGACAATAATAATATTTTGAAAAATTGCCATCATTTTAATTCAATGCTTAATGTAAATGTCGGGGTTTGTGAATGCCATGAAAGGTCATGATCAGTTTTGAATCAAATTTATTTTACTGTGATTGGCTGATCAGATCATTTTATTACTTTACCAACTGAGATTCTAAATTGAAGAGATCGATATTTTTTCTTACCTGACTTCATGTCATTATTTTTTAGGAAGTATGCCTCCACTCTGCACAATTCATTGCCCATTTGATGAACCAGCAAGTTGCACATGAGATTATTGGACTTCAAATTTTAACTCTATTGCTTGAAAACCCAACAGATGATTCTGTGGAGGTATGTGATTGTGGTTTGGTTAATTCGTGAATGTATGATAAATAAATAAAATGGCATGTTTTAAACTCGTTTATCTCAAACTAAAGTATTTTTAGTGAAAATCTTTCTCTTGAATTTTCTCAGGTTGCAATTGGATTCCTAAAAGAGTGTGGCCAAAAATTATTAGAGGTATCACCCCGTGGTCTTGCAGCAGTCATGGAACGTTTACGTACAATATTACATGAACAAGAGCTTGACAAGAGAGTGCAATACATGATTGAAGTAACTAATTATAATTTACTGTCATAAGTTCATTGATTGCAGATATTTCTCAAATCTCATTTACATCTGATACATTTATTTATTTTTCTAATATTGAAGACTATATTATGAAGTAGCAAATCGCACCAAACAGACTTATACGTTTTGATCTGATATAGAATGGAAATCAAAAGATATTGTCAAAGCAACATTATATGTTTTCAAATTCAATCCTAAATCATGCTAATCCATGCTAAAATTTACGGTGCAAAAAATTCTTACATTTCAATTTTCTACTTCCACTCTGCTACTCTTATTTGTCAATCATTTTATGTCATCTAATTTAATTTTCACATTTGTTTCGGAGATCTTGAGTCAAGAATAAATTTGTTCAAGCCAGTGACAGCCAATATATCACGAGTTCTCGGTCATAACTGATATGAGTATCAATGTAGAGAATTCAAATTCAAAATGAATTGAAAAATCCAGGGCACTGAATTTTAAATTGATATTACCTTTTCTTTTTAATCAGGTGATGTTTGCTATTCGAAAAGATGGATTCAAGGAACATATTTCTGTTGAAGAAGATCTTGATTTAGTAGAAGAAACTGATCAATTCACACACATGTTACAACTCGATGATGATGGTGGAGGGAAAGGAACGGAAAATGAACTGAATGTGTTTCATATGGATCCTGATTTTATACAAAATGAAGAAAATTATAAGCAGATTAAAAAAGGTTGTTGTTTTTATCTACTAAGAATGCACAGGCACTTCTGTTCCAAGATTTTTGAAGTCATCAATATTTGGGAAAGGGTTTTTATAAGAATTTATAATTGAGCATGTATGATAATATCCCTCTTTTTTATTCAGTACCCCTATTTCAAATTTCATTATTATTGCTCTGTTTGATAATAAGGCCGATTTTTAGATATTCTTGACGAAAGCAGTGAAGGAAGTTCAAGTGGTTCTGGATCTTCTTCTGATGAATCATCTGACGAAGGTTAGTACAAATTTATTTTAAAAATGGTAACATTCCAGTTCAGACGTTTTGTATACACAAATCTATTCAAGTGGATAACACATGAAAAATCAACCTGTATTTGTGTAACCTGATACATGATTCGGCACAGACAATGCATCTAGAACAAAAACTGACAAAACAACGAATTCCTAACAAATATGACATGCAATATTTTTAATAACACAAAAAGTGTTTTCAAAGAATTACAATTTTTACAGTCTGTTAGTAATATTGGGCTATTCTGCTCTCTGCTAAATATATACAGTAGAACGAAAAGTGGGAGTAAATGCAATTTTTATAAATTGTGAGTAAAAATATTGTGGCAATTGTTTAGCAGCATGATAAGAAATTTAATAAACGATAGGTTTTTGAGTTCATTACACAGTTAGTGCTTAAAAGAGATTTCACGATAAATAAACTTTAAACAAAATTGTACTGTAGCGAATAGGCTGCGAGACATCAGAAACCACTCTTTTGGGTCGGACTTAAAATTAATTGCAGACCCTTGTCCTACAAGATAAGATGAAAGTTGTTCATGACTTAAATTCAATACTTTTTGTTCTGTACATAATAAATCCCAAACATTTTAATTTTCTCTCTATTATTTCAAGTGATTCTGTTGCTTGCAATTTTTCATCTCATTTTCAGAGCCAGAGGAAGAAAAAAAACAAGAGATTGAAGATCGAACTGAAACCAATCTTGTTGCATTGAGAAGGACAATATATCTTGCCATACAATCAAGTCTGGATTTTGAAGAATGCGCTCACAAATTGTTAAAGATGGAATTTGATGTCAAGGATTATGTACGTGATACAGTTAAAAAATTAGAATGAGATCATGAGGTTTTTCTAAAGCATTCGAATTGGGAGAATTATCTATTTGGGGATAGAGAGTTGTACTAGAGCAGAAAATGAACAGATTGTGTTTATCGTGATAAACAACATTAACATGGTAATTTCTTCAAATTTAGAATTAGACATCTGGAAAATTGTTGCTTTTGTTTCGTAGTATTAAAGTTGAATCTCTGTTTTGTTTCAAATTATAGAAAGAGATATGTGCTATGATTATTGACTGCTGCTCTCAACTAAGAACATATGAAAAGTTTTTTGGACTTCTTGGTGCTGTAAGTATCTTTTTCTGTTATTATTCTCTAGCACAATGGTTCCCAACCTTTTTTACTGCGGCGGGCCGGTAAAGTCGGGTCACTCCACTCGCAAACTCTTGTTCAATTCAAATTCGAATGTGATACCTAATCTGCATTCAATGGTAGCATAAATTTTGAAACCAGTAATATTCTTATCTATTTGAAAGTACTTCTATACTTAGCCTACAAGGCAGAGAACATTGGGAATACAACACAACACACTTAATGATTTTGTTTTAATAATTATTTGTTTTGTTGTCCAAGTACGATAACACTCCTGTAACCTATTCCACTTTTATGGGGTCGTTGTGGATTAAAACATGCGTGTAGATATTTACGGTTTTGGCATTTGAAAGATTTAACAAAGTGCTTTCGCCATGAATCTGAACCGGAAATACGATAAGTGCGATTATTCGGCATAAGGATGTCGGTAGGGCAATTAATACCACACTTGGCTTGTTATGTTATAATTATTCAATCACTACTCCATTCATGATTGGGTAACTCATCCACCAATAATCTACCTTTAGTAAGTTGAATGTTGTTGTTTTTCAGAGGTTCTGTATCTTGAAGAAAGAATTCATGGAACATTTTGAAATATTATTTGGAGAACAATACGAAATCATTCATAGATTGGAAACAAGCAAGCTAAGGAATGTTGCAAAGGTTTGTATATTGTGTATGACTATCACCACTTGACTATTTAATACCTATATTAGGAATTCCTTTAAACTACTAATTGGTTATTACATCACTTTCTAAGGCACAGAAATATACACATTGCTATGACATATCTAATCCATTCAATGTCTAACTCATGAACAACTAGAAATTCTGTGTTTTATGTGTTATCTGTTGACAGTTCATGCCTGACTAGGCATTATGTGCAAAATAGTTGTTATGCTATATTAAAATGCGTTGGTGGAATTTGAACCTGGGAGATTTTTTTACGGCAGCAGTTTCATCCTACTGTTGTGTTCCATAGCATAAACAATTACATTTGGTACCGATCAAGTTCCAGAAATTCTTTCTAGTTTTTCTTTTCTTTTTTCTTAGTTTTTTGCTCACCTTCTGCACTCTGATGCATTGCCTTGGACAGTTTTGCAAAATATTGTGCTATCTGAAGATACGACAACCTCATCATCTAGAATTTTCATCAAAATTTTGTTCCAAGAATTAGTTGAATATCTTGGACTGTCAAAATTAAATCAAAGGCTCAAGGATGTGTAAGTTCTTATTTCAAGATTTAGATGAAATCTTGACAATTTTGCTCTGAAAAATTAAATAAAAAGAAACATGAAATGAATGATATTTGTAAATTTCTATTAAATATAAATAACCTATTTCTGTTTCGGTATGAATTGCAAGAAAGTATTATAGAATTGATATTCATAAAATCTTCCTATGACAATATGCAGTATTGTGAAATCATATTATAATCAACTATTACTTCAATAGAATTTCTATGAACTGCAGTTAAATCCTAGTAAAGTTATAGCCTTTTTTATACATATATATTTTTCATTTTACAATAGGATTGTAGCAGTTAATAAATATTGTTTGTGTTTATAGAACCTTAGCACCATTTTTTGAGGGACTTTTTCCTAAAGATTCTCCAAAGAATACAAGATTTGCAATTAACTTCTTTACATCCATAGGTCTTGGTGGAATAACGTGAGTTAAAATTCATTTGTTACCATTTTCATTTTATTAAGGAGACAAATAATTCATTTTGCTTTTTGTTCTCGATCAAGTTCCGACAACAGGATTTGTTTGGTTTTGATGATTTGAATGATATTTCGTAATAGTAATTCATAAATGGCCGATAGCTATTTTCATAATCTTGTTCTTCAGTGAGATGGTTTGGATATACTCTACAACAAACTATGTTAGTAAAACTTGATATTCTGTATCTAGGGATGAATTGCGAGAACATCTGAAGATGACGGCATTGAAAATGTCAGAGAAAATGCAAGCAGAACAAATTGCTTCTTTAAACATTGACTCATCTGATGAAAGCTCTTCAGACAGCTCAGGTCAGTCTCCTGTTCATTTCTATAGTTTAAGATTTCACTTCTACTAGTTGAATAGCTACTGGTGTAAAAAATGGTTCAAAATTGGATTACTCGATTTTAAGTATTTTCAATGTGAAATGTGAATATCCTTCTTTTTGAGGAAGTCGAACTTTGGACAGACAAATCGCTGAAGACACTTAAATTACATACTTTTCGTCTAGACTTGATTTTAGTAATTGGCCATTTTCACTTATCAAATAATTTTGGTGAAACATAGCGTTTTATTGACTATTTTTATTACATTAACAGAAGAAGACAAGAAAAAGAGGAAAAAATCTAAAAAAAAGAAAAAGAAATCAAAAACTAGCAAGAAAAAGAAGAAAAAACAGAAGGAAGAAACTTTCGAATATTCCGATTCTGAAGAAAGTGATCATGTGTCTGATAAAGCTGTCAAATCAATGGTGTCTAAACCTCAACCCTCAACACGGAATAAAGATGATCACAGAGAAGATAGAAGCGAGGAATCTAAAAAAGAGAAAAGTAAAAAGAAAGATCAATCGTCATCCGAAGAAGAAACTGAGAAGAAGCGATCTTTGAGGGAAAGGTTACTGAAAATAAGTAACACTGTTCCGGAGAAATATGCAGAGAAGAGTTCTCAAAAAACAAAAGACAAAACACAATCTCGCGAAAGTAGTTCAGATAATACAAGTAGTGAATCTGAATCATCATCTGACGATGATAGTCCTACTGAAAATGAGGATAAAATGCATACAAGAAAAAAATCTAAAAAAGCTGAGAGTTCAGAAGAGTCTGGAGAAAGTACCGATAATGGAAGAGATCGAATGCATCAGAACAGAATGAAAAACACTGAAAGAGATGTCAGAGAACGAAGACACAAGAATGAGAGATCTAACCGAAAAGATTCAGACAGTTCAGAGGAAAATGTGAAATCCACAAAAAGCAAAAAAAGTTCGGCCAATGGTAAAAATGAGAGAAAAAATAAAACAAAAAGCCAAAAGAAGTATGATTCTAACAGTTCTGATGATGAAAAGACAGTTTATAAACATATTTCAAAGGTGAAACATTCAGATGATTCTGGCAGTTCTAGTGAAGGTGATCAAAATCACAAATCTTCCAATGGCAAAAAGAAACGGGATGATTCTACCAGTTCAGGCGAAAAGAAAACTTATCACGAGAAGCGGGAAAAAAGAGAAAAAAATGAAAAGCGGTATTATGGAAAAAACATCAAATCTGGGACACGTCGAAGTCATTCCAAAAGTAGTGAAGAGAGCGAAAAAGAACATTTATATGAAAGTCATAAAAATTCCAAGAGTCACAAAAATCTTGACCGGTTTAATGAAAAGAAGCCTTCAACAGTGCAAAGAAGAAGTTCGATAAGCTCCAGTGATGAAAAAGATCGTCGCTCACGAAAAGAATATGATAGAAGGGATGACAGAAGACAAAGAGAATATGTGGACGATAGAAGAACCGAGAAGAGAAGAAGGTGAGGTACATCTATGTGTGGGCATTTGTTTGGAGTAGCTCTGTGGTAAGAAAGCTGTTATCACGTTTTCTGCAAATAATGAGTGGGCACGCTTGTGTGAGTGACGCAGGAGTATTTTTCCGAAAGAAGTTGTAAGGAGATGTTGGGAACTGTCTATTAGTTACAATGCTTATTGAATGAAAAAAAATTCTGGCCAACACAGAGTGATAGTGGTATTCAGAAGACTATTCTTATTCTGTATTGAAAGATTTGTCAAATCAATGATTTAAATGAGTACTTTTTCGATGAACTTTTGTAATAAATTTTAAAGAGATATTGTAAAATTTTCCTATTTCTTATTGCGAGGGGTGCAAATTCTGCCCTTCAGAAGTGTACGGACATCTGATTGCACAACCCGCGAATATCGCTTGATTATCCTAAACCCCGCTTTCTATATAATTATACCCTGTTATCATCAACAGTTCCCATTTGTGGTATTTTGCATGATTTTTCTTTAGATTTTTACTGGCGCTGCTGATTTCTCGTTGTAGCTACTAGCTAGTCTTTTGATGGAATTCGATATAACTTTGGCTGATGACTGATCTCCTTTCTTCAGGGCTGTATTTCCCAACTTGTAAAACTTTTAAAAATCACTCATCTTAAACGTGCTGAGATTAATTCCGTCTAATGATACCTATAATGAAATCCGTGTTACTGTCTTAACTTTGAAATCACCAATTAGTATGAATTTTGGTTAATCAGAACATTGTTAGCTATTACTCTGAACAAACCACTGATGAACTGACAGTGCACCCATCAACTTTTGCGCCCTGGACGTTCGCATTCGCAGATATTTAGCCCCACATACATTTGCACTGTCTGTATTGCATTGGCGTTTATCTTGATTAAGGATTGATTGCCTTCATGCAGTTCCAGCATGCAATATAACACATTGCATTTGCTGCGAAAATCAATGTGGTTCTTCAATACAGTGAAAATGAAATCATTTCTTCACTTACTTATGCGACCGCAGTCGAAAACAGTTTCTTCACAATATGCGAAAACAATTGGCATAATACAGTGATAATAACAAGACAACATTCCAAGCGAGTGGGCAAAATACCATATGCGATATCTCTTTCCTGAAAGAGTAAGCTGTGTACAGATACATCTCCAACTAACGGGATGAAGAACAAGCTATTTGGAATACGAGTGGGGAGAACGCCTATCAATCCCGGTATTGATGAAAGTTAAAGTCCCTTGTTGTTACACTTCATCGGTAAAAATTGTTTTAATACGATGAAAGCTCACAGGCATAATCCCATAGAAAATTGTCTATCAATTTTATTTTGGTCGATCTGGAATAAAACAACACTAAACGGGCAAACAAACTGCAGAGGACCTGGATGACGAGCATAACTCAAGAAAGAGTTAAAAACGTACGAGTACGCGCCCGTTCACCAAACACAAAAAAATAAATACACACGATACAAAATTGGACTATAACTCTGAAATCAATTTAAGACGTGAAAACTCAGACCAAAAGAAGAACAGGGCTTATTTTCACAAACTACAAAAATTTTGTGGCCGCGGTAAGCATATGTGCAATATTTTTAATGGAGAAACAATGTTACATGAAAATGTGTTGTATTTATATAGAGAAAGATTCATTACCAAAAACACAAATACAATTGAAAATTTAAGACTTATGAAAACTGTATATATAGCATGCACGTGAGTAGCTTCTAGAACAAAACAATAGTGCAAAAAAATATTATATAATTGTGTCACGTTTCACCCCTTACAAAAAAAGGGGCTAAGGATATCAGTGATTACAAAAAAAGGGGCTAAGCATATCAGTGATCTGTACATTCGCCGGTTACATCCGAACTACTGCAATACTCGTGAACGCACACACACAATCGTAAAACAAAGGCATTTCGGGCGTCTGAACTTCCCACAGTGTTTATACACTATATATATATCTAAAATTTCCGGTACCAATGGTATTGAATTGTCCAGATAAACCACTTTTCACAAACCAGAGACCAAATATTGGTGTCGACTTTTGCCCTCGGTGGGCCAATCGTCCAATTCAACGCAAATGAGTCCTATATATAAAGCCTCGTCCGGGATCCGTCACAGCTTATACTCAATTCGGAATTCTTGAATTTGTGGAATGTTTCCTATTCTTCAGCTGTCGATCTGTAGTAGAGCAATCTATACTTTTGATTCCCATTTGTTTCCGTACAGCCAGCGGCGCGACGCAATCAAGAATTCCCAGACAGAGTCGAGTGTATGTGTAGGTGGGCATATTTCAATAAAGGATTCATTTGTCAGGTTTGTAGGCGGCTTGACCTATGTGCTCGCAATGGCATTACTCTGGACCCTAAAAAATTTTCGGGGGAACACAGTGGTTCATTTTCCCGTGATCTACGTTTGTTATGTAATAAAATTTCACTGAATAATCTATTTTTTCTGTAATCACCACATAAGAACTGAAACCACAATTTTTTTCTTGAATTCTAGTTTGTATAAAGTATACCATGATCTTCTTACATTGTGGCTTTATTTTATTGTGTTCTTTTGACTGGTTTTGTTGGACGGGCAAGTACTTGTACGTTTTTAACTTTTTTATTGAGTTATGCCCGTCTTTCAGGTCCTCTGCATTTTGTTTGGCCCTTTGTTGTTGTTTTGTTTCTTTCACAGTGACCAAAATAAATTGATTGAATATTGAAATGCCATAAATCTAGTATTAATCGGCGTTTTTGAAACGATTTCATCCTTCATATTAAACGCTGTATTGTAGGAAAGTGAATTATCATTTGTTAATTGTGAAATTGATGGTGAATATGGGAATAACGAAAAACTGGTTGATGTTAATGATCAATTCTTTCATGAATGTATCATATATATATGGGCTATTCCAAGTGACTCTACAGGACAATTCCAGAAAGTTCGCATGTTGTTAGATTCAATATATTTTTACATTGTCAGTTATATGTTTTGTTTCATTGGCCAATCAGTTGCTTTATGGAGTTTGAACAGAATTGTACAAAAGTTACACACAGGACTTAACTTAGTGGATATAAAATATATATATAGCAAAAGGTTTCCGTACATTTGAACCCACGTACATTTGAACCCACGACAATTGAGGCTGCATACTATTGCACCTATAGGAATTTTTTTTGTTTTGCGGATATTTGAATTTGAACCCATACTAACCTAACCCATTGGTTTTAGCACCCGCATGTAGATTGAACCCGCATAATCGCATATACACATAGGGGTTCAAATGTACGGTCACCATAGCAAAATATAGCGTGACACTACAGGATAGCAAATCCACCCTGCATTAACTATACATTGTGTTGTGCTGTAATTTGTTGCGATAGTACAGCAGGAGCTTATACTATTTTCTGTTGCAGTAGCTGAAGGACCCCTCTATGTGTTGCTCAAGTTACATGTAATACTGTAGGTGACCGTACATTTGAACACATGTACATTTGAACCCATGCGTATATCCACGGGTTCAATCTATATGCGGGTGCTAAAACCCATGGGTTAGGGTTAGTATGGGTTTAACTATCCGTGAAACAAAAAAAATTCCATAGGTGCAATAGCATACAGGTGCAATTGTCATGGGTTCAAATGTACGTGGGTTCAAATGTAATGGAACCAATACTGTATAACTATGCCAATAATTTGAATATTGTATGTGACACTACAGGACATTTTCCACTTCGGAACAGCGGCTTCTATCATTTTTTCAAAAATATGGTAATAAATAGGTGAACACATGTCCTACAGTACTGCAAACATTTAAACTTTATAAACTTAAATCCAGTGCGTCTATTTCATATGAAATAATTGTATCACACAATCAAACACTTTGTGTCACAAATCATCACAAAATATGTTAATTATACCAAAATTTCCACATTTTAGGCCATTTTGTGTAAACCATCATAAACCTGGGTGAAATTTTAACTTTTTCAGTGAAATGAATGCAGTCCAATAAAATTCCAATGTCTTTCGATATAAAAAATTCAAAAAAATTACTTTCATTACACTTTTGAAAAAAATGGTGGAATTCAACCTTTGCTTGGAATGGCTCATATATATACAGTATATAATTTTATTAATGTAGGCTACTGTTCGTAAAACTTTGTGGTGATACTATAATATTTTATTCATGTTTTTATTTCATTATCAAAAAAATTATATTTACATTCGAGTCTTCAAAAAACCCAGAAATTGCTTAAATGGAATTCATTTTTAACTCAAATTAGGCCGCGAGCCGAGGCCCTGAAAAACGCCTAGAAAGTGAGTTTCGTAGCGCACATCAGGTAACTACCTGAAAATGATTTTAAATGTTCCTTAAAAATTTAGTAACAAATATTGCCTTGTTCCCACTTCCAAAAGTTGCACGTTTTACTACAAGAAATATGTGCTACGATCTGTCCTATATTTTCTACATTTCCGGCAATGAACAATGACTTCTGCATGACGTAACAATTGAATCGAATCAGCTGTTAGCGAGCGGATGAATCTTAGTTATTACTGCTCGATCTCGCGTTGAGTTGGGCAGCCTTTCCATAGCCCTGTTTAGTTATTATTAGTTAAGTTATGCTAAGACGTTGTTAAAAAGTATAAGTAAGTTATTAAACACTTGTAGATCCTTACCACGGATATGGGCCGTTAGACGAAGCCTTGAAAACGCCCAGAAAATGAGTTTCGTAGCGCACATCTGGTAACTACGGTAAATAAATTCTTCAGTTTTGTGTGAAAATGAACATACTGAACGCATTACAGCTTGTTCCACAATCCTGATGCAAAACTGAATATAAGAGGTTCCCGGAAATTCAATAACCATATAAGTTTACAACACATACATAAGAACTATGCAATTCGAGAGCCCTACAGCACACTAACACAAATGTATTCCTGTAACGTTTTGCCTGACCAAAATCAGACTTCCTCAGTCAATCATAATTTATTAGGTAGATTACGAAAAATATGGCATACATGTAACCAACAACAAAAAACTTTAATTGTGTGACAGGAGTCGCGAGTGACCTCGAAAGCTCGAATAAATTTAATGTAATAACCACAAGCAGTTTACAACAAGAACAACATAAAAATCTACATCAATTTTATAGAAGCTATCAAACGTTTTTATTTTTAAGCAATGAAGTCACAAATTAACATCGTGAGCACGAAAACACAAATAAATCAGTTATTTCTCACCTAGAAATTTACCGGAAAAGTCAAGAAAATTAAATGAATAGGATGTACATAACATAGTGAACAGAAATATTACAATTAGTCTTTTTTTAGTTTATGTGGTTATGTATTTGAACAAAGGCAATATTATGCCTAGAAACAGGACTACGACACTAACAAATGTCCGAAAAAACAAACAAATAAATGATCCATTTTATAGCACTGATAGCAGCAGGGATAAGAGCCTGCGTTAGGTCGAATTGGTGGAACATTGCCGTTTTCTTTTGTAGTACAGTATCTAAAATGAGGAAGAAAATTTTGATCAGCATGAGTGTAAAAATACCACTAAATACTAACTAATACCTTGAATACATAATGCATTTTATTTGATGTACTCAATGAGCGTATATATGATCATTGCACGTACTACAGTCCAGCAGTGTTTGCATACCAGTACTAGACTATATCTACACTAAATTTTGATATATCACAGTCTGAAATGCCCTATGAGTTTGGACTATAGACTATATTTTAAAACATCAACTGTCTGTCTACAACTTGATTTCTCACCTCTCAATTGCTTCCAATGCTACCTTCTTTCCACGGCATAACTTATCATTGCTTCCCAGGTTCTTATCGACCTTATGAATTCAGATTTAGCCCAACCGACATTAGTAAAATTGATTATTTTCTTCTCTTTCACACAACCGTGCATTACAGAAACAGCCATTAATTTTTATTTCCAAATATGCTGTGGCCTATATAGTAGTATAAGTCTGCTGAATAGTCAAGAAGAGTCATTAAATTAATCATAACATTTCATGCAAGCCACAAAATATCGTTGATGAAATATCTAGCCTTCCTTGGAGTCACCGCACCGTACCTATTTAACAACGTCTTATAAGCTAGTGCTCAACTAAAATTGCTATTTATGGTAAGGATATACAAGTGTTTAATATCTTACTTATACTTTTCAACACCTCCTTAGAATAACTGAACTAATAATAACTGAAAAAAACTATGGAAAGGCTACCCAACTCAACGCAAAAGCGAGCAGTAGTACATCTGATATTCATCCGACCACGGGGGATCCACCTACAGCTGACTAATTTGATTGTTACGTCATGCATAAGTCTGCGTTCATTGGCCCATGATACCGGAAAATCAGAGAAAATTGGACAGATGGTAACACATATTTATTGTAGTAAAAGCTTCTTTTCTGTGAAACGTGCAACTTTTGGAAGTGGGAACAAGGCAATATTTGTTACTAAATTTCTAAGGAACATTTTGAAATCATTTTCAGGTAGTTACCTTATGTGCGCTACGAAACTGAAAGATAAATGGCCTCGGCTCGCGGGCTAAATCGTAAATAAACACCAATACGGTAGTAAGAGTCGTCATAATCACTACAGCCAAAAAAACTTGCAGCGTTGCAGTCCGGATTCCGTAGTCGGTGGTGGAGCGCAGCATGTTGCTCTCTGCTTTGATGTGTTAGGCCTACCTATTTAACCAGTGGACTTTCATTGCCTACCGTACTGTATTTGTATCTGAATAGCTTATCAATTACAATGAGTTACGAAGAGGAAGTTCTAAGAATCGGAAGGAAGCTGGATAACATGGTTTCGAAAAATACGACGGTAAGACTTAACTGATGACGATTACCGATACAGGATTATTTAAATTCTGTAAAAGTATTTCAATAAAACCCACGCAGCCATCACAGTATTATGATAGGTATTTCATGAAAAGGAAAAATACAATACAATGGAGTGGCGGATATAAAAAATAATAAATCACGGAATAGAAGTAACTTAGGCCATTGTTCATGTGGAGTGGAACTTTAATTGCATGTAACAGTGTGCAGGTGTGGGAAAACGGTGTCAAATCAATTTGAATTGGCCTCTTGAAATCTCCAATCAAAAGTCAATTTCTCTCCATATTTTTATGTTCATTTAACTTTGTCTGTTTATCAGGAACAAGCAGTTGATGTGTTGAAGGCATTGAAACAAATCCCTATGACACTGGATACCTTGCAAAAAACAAGAATTGGAATGTCAGTAAATAATGTACGAAAGCAAACATCAAGTGAAGAGGTTTCTTCGGCAGCAAAACAATTAATAAAAGGATGGAAAAAACTTGTTCCAGGTATCCAACGACCTATTTCAGTATTTTGTAGAGATATTTGAAATGAACAAAGTTTGAATACATTGGAAAATGATTATATTCGATATACAGATATATGCAATTCTTAATTTCGAGAACATTGCAGAATACTTTCATGCGAAGGTTTGGCTTTTTTAAAAAAAGTTTCAACTCACCAATGACACTGTCAAAATTTAATTTGTCAAAATCATCAAGACAATATTTTTCTCAATTACTCTTTGTTACAAAATCAAATTTCTATGAGTTTGCAAATTTCTGCCAAATTTGCTACCAAACGTAACCTATTTTGGAATATATTCAATGTGCACAATGTTTTTGGAATGGGAAATTATTTGGTTTCGGCCAAACCTAGATTTAAAAGTTCTATTTAAAGTTACTATATCGCAAAGAAAATAATATTATTTGATTGTATTGTTGCTAAGACATTGCTTATTTATTGATTGTTTTTAAGAGCCGCCACTTAAAAAGTCTGAATCAAGTAAGAGTTTGAAAAATGAATCGAAAAAAGAAACAAAACGAGATGAAAGTTCTTCGGGACAAGGGGTGAATACTTAAGTTTAGTACACTATTATTATGATTATTCTACAAGAAAATGTTGTTGATATTGTGTGCCAAGCTGGCATAATGCTAGCTTGTTAATAATAGTCATATCTTTACAGCATCAACTTTCATTCAACTCTTAAATCTTTTGATAAACAAAACAAAACTCAAGCCGGTTCAATTAATCAAGTGGTAGCAAGGTAACAAACATTCCAGCTTAGCGAGAAAAATGACAATAAAACTGAGGAAATTTTGAATAGGCCTTATTTGCTTGTCATAATAACTTCTTCCATGTGAGCCATGATGCGATTTGTGCTTTGTTTTACCTGTTTAGCCCACTATTTCGATAATCGACTGGAGTCTGCATTTGAGGTCAATGGCCGATGCTATATCTGTTGATGCTTTTATAAAGATATTGATTGGCTTCGTCCTGGAACTTGGTGTCAATGTTATATGATTGAGCTTTATACAAGTTAATGCAATTTACCTAAGTCATAATAAATATTGTTTTTCGTTGTTTATGGTTGTCGATTTGATTTACCAAAAAGTTATATTACATTGATATAGGTCAAAGAATCGGCAACAGCAAAAGTAAGTTCAAATGGAATGGAAGTACACCAATCATTAGCATCCACAAATAACCCAGTTCGTGATAAATGCAGAGAAATGTTGATTCGTGGCCTGGAAACTCCTTCAAGTATGTCAATATAATTGATATTGTCATGTCAATTACATGTCGTAGTTGATAGAAATATACATTAAGTAATAGGAGAATTTGTCAATGCTGTAATGCAGGGGTTCTCAACCTTTTTCCCGATAAGTACCCTCTGAGTCATTAAATAATCAACACGAACTGGTATGCGGTATTAATGGCCCGATGCTGTCTTGGCGCAGAGTAATCACACTTTTCTCGCTTTTTTGGTTCCGATTCATCGCGAAAGTTTCCGCCAAACCTCGCAAAATTAAGAAACCCAAAGGTCGGCACACGTGTTTTTTCTGTTCGGCATGCTTTTCCTGATTAAAAGGTTATGACTATTTCTTTGTCTAAACCATAAAACAGCCACGAACAGTATAATATTCCAGGGCTTCGTTCGCCTTGACATCTAGTAAAATATGAGCTTGTTGCGAGTTGCGACCCTGCAGGTGGTCACAAGCATTGCAAAAAAAGCATTGACCGCAGAGATCTTTTCTAGGTGATGCGCAGCACGGTTGTGAACCTGGTGCCAAGTTACCAAGTTATCTTACCAAAGTTATCTTTTTGTGAATTTATTGTGTTCAATGCGTTGATTAACTGCAGAAGGATTAATATGAAATTAGTTGATTAACAAAGCACTTTGATAAGAGAACAAGAACGAGAAATGTTTTCAAGTGTGCCTTTTTTTTATCTAAAAGCATAGTGAGTGCCCAACATTGCATTACATTTCGCAAATATATGTTATTATTCTATATTCCCCTCATTTCAATTTTTGACGGTCCGCAAGTACATTTAGTGCAAATTCACCGGTCCGTCAGAAAGGTTGGGAACCATTGTTTTTAATAATATTAAACAAAAATATTCATTTCATTGATACAAAACATTGGTGTGAAGGCAGTCCCGGGTTATTGAAAATAATTTTCTCAATTTAAGTAGCAAATAGCACATTGTCTTTTGAGTTTTCACATTGTTGAGTCACAACAACACAAGATCAGGGAAAAAGAGTTTCAATCGGCAAGCATTTTTCATCTGATAGTAAAGGACCTACTATGCTAAAAATAGCAACACATGAAAACTCAACTGCCATTCAAGTACCCCTGAAAATCTTCCCAGGTTGAGAACCCCTGCTGTAATGAGTGTGTGCAATACCACCTGTCAGTTTATTTTTGCCAAACTAAATAGGCCTCTATCCAACTCATGTCTTTCCAGACAAGGACTGTTGAGTTGATTATTAGACCAGAATTGATAACAGACCATGTAAAGCCATTGTAATTTTTTTCATATTTTATTACACAATTGTCTAATATCCTTGCCAGTCACCGCACCTTTGTCACTGACCACCATAATCATCATTTTCTATAATCAATAGTGTTTAGTTAAATGCTAGCAATAAACTAGGTGTATAATTGATAGCTTTTCAATTCAATGTGATCTTGTTTATAATCAAAACTCATTCTCCATTCTCAACCTATATTTTTCCTATATTTCATTATGTGCTGTTTCACAATGTTATAAAACCGACCAACTCACTTGTTTGAAGTAGGGTAGAGTATGTTTTTTACTTTCAATCAGTTACTACTGGTATGTCTTTTTGGTTGCATGCTATATTAATGTTGTGTACTTGTGTCTGACTTTAATTAATCCTTCTTCTAGGTTCAGAATCTGAAAAATCTCGATTTCGGTTCCTAGCAGCCATGATTGAAGAAGCTATATTTAAGGAATTTTGTGACACAGGCGTGAAATATAAAAATCGAGTGAGAAGTCGATACAGCAACTTGAAAGACACTCGTAATCCACAGCTTCGAGAAAATGTATTATCTGGAGCAATATCACCCGAAAAGCTTGCAAAAATGACACCAGACGTAAGTAGAGTTCTACTTGCATCATCCACAAGCATTAACTGTCTTCAATTTCTTGAAATTCATTCTATACAACCTATGGATGTTTCCAGAGCATCGATTTCCTTGTTTATTTTTGTAACGAAGACCAATAAGCAATGAGTCAAAAATGACATAACTATTGCAATTTGTGGTGCTGCTCAGACAGACATTTAAGCATGGATGTAAACATTGCCCCGTTTTCAGGGTTTTGCGTGGTATTTGCCAGTTTTTATTGTGTTTCCAAAGTTAGTTATAATCAAATAACTTGATAGTCATTATGTTTTTTGAGAAACTTGAGTTTCGTTAGCAATACTCAAAAATTTGTCTTGAAAACGCTGCGATAGACTAGGGTAAAATTAGCAATCAATACATGTAAGGTTGCATGCTGTTAATGTTTTCCATATTATAAATGGTGGTTTTAATAGACATAATAAGCAGATTGTAAGCGACCAGCAGCAACTTTTGCAAAGGTTGAGTATAGGAAGAATTTTTCTGGGGTCTAAGGTCATGGGGGAACATCTTTCCACAGGAAAAGCTTTGCTGTTTTCACATATTTTATATCATTGATTTTGAAAAATTCAACCTTACCATAGTATCTAATCATTTTACATTATAGTAATATCTTCTCAAACCTGTCTTTTTATTTAATTATTGGAGTTAAATACTTTTGTTAACTCGTAGTAGCTTGTTATTTTCAAGGTGAATCCTCTGAATTGCTCAGGATTTCATTTGAACCTGTTTTCTTGTTGTTTCATCTTGTTTCTCTGCCTGTTAGTACTTACCGTACTCCTTTTAATACAGGAAATGGCAAGTTCAGAAATGAAATCTCTGAGAGAGAAATTTGAAGAAGAAAACATCAAAGATCATCAAATGGCTGTACAAGAAGGAACGAAAACAGACATGTTTGTTTGCGGAAGGTGTAAAGGGAGAGCATGTACATATAATCAGGTAACCAGACACTTATTAAAATTGGACTTCTTGCTGACTTGATAGAGGGGTGTCAATCAAGAAATGGATTTTTGTTGTATGTGGAGTTGCTTCAAGTATCGTACTCATTAACATTGACAGCAATATGTACTGAACTTCGTATAATAGATAGTTATAACTGAGTAATGTTTATTTTGTATTATATTTTATGTTTCATGTTCATTTTTTTCAGCTTCAAACGAGGAGTGCAGATGAACCTATGACAACATTTGTGTTTTGCATGGAGTGTGGAAATAGATGGAAATTTTGTTGAACATGGAAAACAGCTGTTCCAATTAGCTAGGCTTGAAGCTAGAAGCTACATCAAACTTGTTTGAACTAGATTACTGCTGTGCTATCCAGTTGGATAACCATCAAATTCCATGGATTAACTTCATCATTATCATCACAGGGAAGAATACCAGGAAGTAAATAATGAAATGAAAAGGGATATGAGAAGCTGGTTTAGAATTTGATTCATAAACTAATTTCAATTTTGTGTCTACGGAAGGGCAGGTATCCTTCTTCTTGCTTAGTTGTATATATATTTCTATATCTGGAGTGGGTCAAGACTCAAAGAGTTCATTTAATCTTGACATAATTCCAAGTGTTGATGTTCCATGGCATAATATTTTAATTGATTGTTAAAGTGATATGAATTCTTTATAGCAAAGTACTGTGTTCCAACATTTTCAGAAATATTCATTGAATATATTTCTGTGGATTTTAGTTCCTGCATTAATTGAGATTTTGGTGGGAATATGCTTGGGATGCATATAGGTAGAAATTATCAACTTCATGAGTTTGGTTTAATGGCTCTATTTAGTCATGATTTGATTGTCATCGTGTAACGTTAATGGTGATGTAAAGTTCCAACTACTACTTGTAATATATTAATGCCTGGCATATGTGATTCCTTTTTATTCTTGCTTCTTGATGATATTATAATTTAAAAAATAGTTGTTAGTGATGGATATTGCCAGGTTTGGATACATCGGTATAACACAATTTTATTTTGAATTGAAATATTATTTAGTACAAGAATTCAGTTATGCCATTACCTAATATTTTGAAACTGCCATATTTGTGTGAGTTGCACCATGATATAAGTAGATACTAAGTATTTTGTCTAATTGTATTATGATAATGTAATACACCATACAGGTTTTCTAACTAGCTTCCAAGCAAATTGTTTTTCTTCTGACATCCTGATTGTAATTGCATTTGAGTTTCGTTCCAGTTGTCCATATTGTGTTCTAAAATCTACTGCTTTTAAATCTAAAGCTATTCTGTAGGAAAGACCACACTTGACACTTCATGGAGTTAAGTGGCAACAATTTCAATTAATTAATACTATGTGAAAAAATTGCTTTCAAGAAATAAGAATCAAAATTGTTGATTTTCTTGTAAAATACGTCTTTTTTGTAACATCGCAAAATTTAAAGCAATTATCATATTTGATTTTGTAAAAAAAAAATTGTAGAACATTTAAATAATGGTTTTGGTTCAGATAGTAATACACTCAATCATAATTTAATTATAAAGGCATAATCGTCACTGATATGTTACTACTGGGCTGATTTCACCCAGTATTCAATGCAAAATTCTATTTAAATGCATGTTTGGGGTTTTCAGTGCAGTCCTATGGTTTTCATACACATAGACTTCACCATCTTTCAGATAGTAACAAAAACGAGCCTAAATTGAAATGTATTATATTAAATAGCTCAAATCGTTTTATAGTGCAGAAGAATAAAAAAATCTTTTAGTAAGAAAAATTGGAATCTTAGCTTAAAAAAGGTTGGGAACCGCTGTATTGGCTGGCGATTATCACCAGAAGTATGTATAATGTAGAAAAACCCTAGTTCGGTTAGTTATCTCGAAAATAAAATCATCATTTTTCATTGCTGGGTTGTGTAATGATCGTCCCAAATCAAATATTGGGGTTTAAATCTCGGAAAAAAATAGGTTTTCTACCGCCTATATTTTGGCCTATTGTAGGAAGCTTTCAGTGATGTGAATTTTAGCCTGTAGACTTCAGTTGTATTCATCTGAAAATGTAGGTTGTGTTGGGGATATTCAACAATCGTATTTTGGAATGATCTCTTCTGAGTGTAATCTATAGATTTGCGAAAGCCCTTCACGTTCTTGTTCAACTTTAGTATTCTAGCATAATGGGAACTGCGCCCTCTCATGCATATTGCGGTGTGATTTGAGAATTGATGCGAAAATATGTAACTGTCGCGTCGTTTGTAATGCGATGCAGATAATGTTCACAGTTCCTCGATATAGTGAGTTATGTCATGGCTATACCTAGAAATAGTTAAGGCATGATACTGGGGCATTTCAGTCATTTTTGTTATGTTGAGTTTTTTGTAAATCCAGTACTATTGTCGGATATTTAGCTCTTGTGTTTGTTTTTGGGAAATAAACTTGCTTATGAAATATGTATGAGTTTAGTGTACTCGGTGAGTAAGCTCGATTTGAATATGGATTTGAACTAGTTACGCTCATGTTCTTCCACCTTCATTGTTCAATGTACTGTTTTCTTTATTGAGTTGAGTTTATAAAGACAGACCATCATCTCTGCGGTGTTTTCCTCCGCAATAATTTATAACTCTTTTCGTGCAAAATGATTGGCTTTCATCTCTGCCGTATGTAGTGTGCAATGATGCAAACGTACCTTCTTTGAGTGCCCCATCAACGTAACCTACTGCTCATATGGTTTAGTTGGAGATCACCATATGCTCATGAGAAAACCTTATCGATTTGACTAATGATGTTCAGCATTGGCGGTATATTGGGAATGGCTTAATAATGAATGTGTTTCAGATATGATTCTTATCGTTAGTATTCTTGAAACTTTCGACACCTTTAAAAATGGATTTACCAACAAGCTTACTCTTTCTGTGATCACCATTCTATAAAACAAGACTTTTCCGAGTTTCTGTGACGTAACAATATAAATACAAGCTTCTTCGACTGGTTTTTCTTTCAAAGTAATAAATCGTCTTCCAAGTTTTGAAGTGTCAAGTTGGATTACTGAAGGCAAACGAAAGGTGAGAATTGTGTGTATGGTATTTATTGTATTAGCGACTGTAAACTAGATCACAACTATTAGGTGCATTCCTGTGAATGTTTATTAATATTAACCTGTGCTGTACAGCTTTTATTTATTCCATGTATATATATCAAAATAGTATCACCTTATTTTGAATGGGGCTTCTACGAATGGTCCGAAATTCATTGAATTAAGTTAATTAAAGAAAACGGAAAGTTTGGCTGCGCAGTAACGTCCTCCAGGCTAACAATAAGCTTTTTAGAGAAACAATAACGTTCGCCTCTTACCAAATGTGCATGCATTTTTATATTAGACTTTTTGTTGGCGAAAAAAGTCTTTTTCTTACTTGCTTTTATAACTTAAATAACAGAAGTATTCCCTCCCCCAAGGTTTTTATAAATTAGTGATATGTTGTCGACATTGACGCATCTGTCGCGGCAACAAATTTATGGGGCATTCACAGAAGAATTTAAGGAGGAAGCCGTAGTAAACAAATATAAATACCATTCCGCTTGGGTACTCATCTCATGAGCCCAATACTCGTCGTGTGTAGTTTAATAGTCAAATGGTTTCATCAGCTCGATTGAAAATGGAAGAAGCCAACATTGCCCCCCCACAAAGCCAAGACGCTGCGAATGAAGAAAAAGGAGGGAATATTTCAGATTCAAGTTCCTTAACATCGGTAGAGGAGAATGATGTAGAAGATTCGGACAATGAAAAGGAAGAAAAGTACGTTTGAATTATGCCATTGTGACAATATAGGCTACGTTGATTGAAATATGTACAATTGTCTTATCTAATAACTTTTATGTAACTATATAATGGGTAACACACTATGACCTGCAAGCTACATTGTAGGCCTAAGCAAAAAAAATTTGTCTGTTCAAATGCTTGAAAATTTGTGTTAAAAGCAAAGAATTATTACGCCCATGTCAGCAAGTCTCATTTCCCAATTTGAATATTTTAAGACGTCTTACTCTGGTGGCTTTTTGTTTTTCAATTCAGCAGCAAGTTGTTGTGCGCCACGGGCCAGATGAACATTTCAAATTATATCACAATATATTAGTTTGCACTGAAAAACTGAGAATTCTTCAACAGATTTTTATACACTCGCCTTTGTTTTGTTATTGCAGGCAACTCAAGAAGCAGTCCGAAGAAAAAGCCAATTTTTTGAAAACAGTTTCCACAGTAAAAGCCAGTGAGATATTACCTTATGTAGTTAGTTATTTAGCGATACTCGCCCTCGAACTTATTGTGATGATAATATACGGTATGTAAGAGAGAGGAGTGTCTGGCGATATGACACATTCCGTCGCATGATGATCGTTATGTGCACAACTCGAGATTATGTATCTTATTGATTTAATATGCGTAAATGTGAAATGTTAATATAAAACTTTTCCGTGCTACAATCATGTTAACAAAGTCAAATTTGCTTTCCAACGTAGCATAATTTGTATTGAAAAAAGTAAATGAGTTTGAGAACTTCTGGCTGATTCAAATATTTTTCCAATGTATGGGTGCGTACGTTGTAATATCCAAATACAAATATATTAACATGGGGTAATAAGACCATCTATTCAGTATCCTACAACTGTAAAAATCCGCAATGTTTCTTTTACATTAATAATTTAATTCTAATGTAGTATATACTTGGTGAAAAAATTAACACTGTATATACATATGTACCGTAATACAAGCATCAAAATGGACCAAGAACAAGAAATCGAAAACAACTGCAAACAAACTTGAAGATCAGATGAATTTCGAACATTTGAAGAAACTACTAGAGGAAATATTTCAGGTATTGAGCATAAAAAATCTTAGTTTTATACAGTAGAGTTTTTTTTACATAAATATATAGGAAAATAGAAATATATCTGCGACAACTTTTTATTTCCAGGAAGCTGATGCAGATGGTGGAGGAGGTTTGGACGTGGATGAATTTAGAGAAGCAATGAAACGTACAATGGGTTCAGAAGTTGACGATAAAGAACTCGAGATTATTTTCATGAAAGTAGATACAAACTGTGATGGAACAGTGGACTGGGTAAAACATACAAACTCATGCATTTAGAACGTATTTCGAAGTGTAGGTAATGATCACATTATAGCCTCGGATCCGGGCGAAAGGCCGTTGTTCATCACTTAACGCCGGCTTTGTCAAGCTTAGTGTTCTCAGTCTTCACGACATGTAGGCCTGCTTTTTCTGGTTGCGTAAACGCATATACAAATTGTTATTTGTCGATATGCTACCTGCAAGAGGCCATCAGTATTTATATTCAAATTATATGAATACTTTTATTTCATTTTAATTCTACCAGGACGAATATTTGTCTTACATGCTACTGGAATATCAAGAAAAAGACACAATGACAAGTATGATAAAAGAGGCAAGGATAGTTAAAATGTTTATACGTCAAAATTAGGTAAACGATATTAGTTTGTTTGTACAAAACTATATTTGCCGTCAAACGCACGGCCCTAAATTTGTATAAAGTCAGATCCAGATCAGATTGAGATCAAACAAAGTAAGGCTGTTATGGAAAAAAATGTCACCCAATTCAAACTATTTAACATCACAAATGTCGCCTGCGTTGCTGTTTCAGATTCCATTTCCTAAGAAAATGAAAGAACTCCAGTCGTAAGTATCGTTTCATATGAACGTGAGAAAATAAGACGTGCAATAGTAATTTCAGAGTAGGTATGCCATACAAGGTAAGTATGAATACTTCCGAGTAGTGTTTGTGAAGGTTTCAATTTTGTAATGGAACCACATCCTAAAAAAGCTAGCTTTTTTGTAGGAACCAGCGTATATATATGTATACGGTACTGAACTGATTACGACTGTTTTACTAACATTAAGCGCAACGTCTACATACACGTAAAAGTAAAACTCCTAGATTTTGATTGACGACTGGAGTGAATTTAAAATTTCATTTCAAACGTCGAATATTAAATTAAGCCCTGCGTATGGGTATTTCTGAATCCGGAAAAGAAGGATGGCTAAGATAATTCCCGCTGTTAATTTTCCAATATAGTCACTCGATTCCATTCATTATGGGCATTGAATAACGACATAGAAGATGGAATCTTCGTTCCGATACGCATGAATATTAAATGGAGCCTTTTCCAGAGGGAGCAAAATCTCCATTGAAATATAAAAAAAACTTTTATCAATAAATGTCAGTAATCAATTATGGAATACGAAATATTTGCCAAAATAAGCACAGTTGCACAGTATTGGCCAAAATCGTAATGATATCCGGTCATGTTTGTTCGCTAACGTATTATCAAGTATGTGTTTAGATGCCACAGAGATTGTGTGGTTCGAATAACTTTCTTGCAGCATCTCACAAATCGTCATGGCAATAAAGCACTAGATCGTGATAACCCTGGTGGAAGATTTTTTGTTCTAAGCAAAGAAGGTCAATTGGGAATGTATGGACTGGATTTTGAACTTCAAAAGTCCTACACCGTAATTATTTCGTATACGTTATATTTGTTTTTAACAAAGCTTTACCTTGGTAATATTAAGGTTGACGAGTAAGGTCAAAGTATACAATCATTGATATCGTCCACTTGCTTGAAATTAAATCATTATTTGAAATTAATATGTCAAATGCAAGCAATAAAGATGTAAATTATGACGTCTAGCGCTAACAAAAAGCAATGAAATTCGTTTAAGGTAAGATATATCTGCACGTTTTACAAATTCAGAAACGACCTAACATATGACAGTTGAGTAAATGTTTATTACGATCTTCATTATGAAATCCCCTCTTTCCTTGCTTCACCATATATTAGCATTGATTCACTTAATTGATAACCAATCTGAGCATATCATTGGAGCTTTCACAGATTTTTCAACTTACTTTTACTTATATTTGAAAAGCTTGATTTAGGAAGAGAATCATATGTTGGACAATGGTTGACAGACATGGCAGCATTGGCAAATGTTGGAATGCTCGCTATAAGCTCCACTGAGCGCGAAATAAGTAATATTGTATTTTTTAATATTATAAGTTTTATTCAAGTTTTCGATTCATCAAGTGGTAAAATTTTGCTTTTTTTTTAAGATTTATATGTATATATATATGAGCGTAAATTTGGAATTGTCATTTATCTTTTACAAAAGCATTAATCAAACCATCGGTAACTTTTGTCTCATACAGCTTTCTATGATGTGAATGCGAACAAATTCGAGAAACAATTTCAAATCACCGGATTCAAAGACACTGTCTTGTGCATGGATTTCTGGTAAATATGTAGAAAGATTACATCGTTTTGCAAACAAGTATTCAACCTAAGGGGTGAGATTTCACTTATTCGAACCCTAAATATTCAACTTCAACCCAAAATCTATTTTACTCAATACAGCTTTTCTTTATAATCAAACAATAATCGGAAGTCATTTACAAAATAGTAAAAACCCTACGTATATTCTAATAGTTTTATAAAGTTTTCATTTGATTTGGTATTGGAAAAATTACAATACACCACGAACCTAAATTACCTAATACAACATGAAAGTACGACATGGGAGCATAACCGATGCTCCCTAAATGAACCAGCAGTTAAACGTACGTTTCTCAATAGTTTATTATGTCGGAATCCTAATCATGCATCTAGAATTATTTAAACAGTTGGTAAGAGTTGGTTGGTATGAAAAAAATCACGAAAGTTTGAGATATTCGAGAATGTTATTTTACAGGTTTGATCATGAGAATTTAAATCATTGCACTTTGGTTGCCGGTGATGCAACTGGAAGTATTGTTCTTCTACGATTTGTGGAAGCTTTGCAAAAAGGATTGTTTGCAGTATACCCAACGAAAGGTAAATATAATTGTTTTACAAATATATAACAATTCCAAAATAATTGAATGTTTCAGATGAGTTCGGTTGGGTATTTCGTTTGATTATTTTAGAAATAGAATGTCGAATAAAACTATGCACCCGGTCAAATATCAAAACACGCAATGCAGGATTAATTATGATAAGGTTTTGGCTATTTGAAACGAACCCTACAGACTGTACATGTCTAGGTGTATGCGTACCTCACCCACGTATTGATATGTAAATTGTCAAAAACTTTTGTTCGTTCAGTTTTTTCGATTAAGGTATGCTCTGAAATCACAATGAAAGCTCAATTATTGACATCTTCTCCATTAAATAAAAACAAGTCTTTTGTATTTGACTATAAGAAACTAACGCAGCATATGTTTCAAATTTTTAGGCGCGGTGACCAGAATTCCATTTGTAACACTCATGAAACACAAAGTGAGAGGAGCTTATGGAATGATATTTACAGTAAGTAACTGGTTCGGAATCACTAACTTTGCGTTCAACGGTTTTATTCTTTTCTGAATTTATTGTAGTCTGATTGGAAACACAAATACATTGTGAAATTTTGTTGTACATACATTGTGTCGTAATATAATGAGGTTGCATTATAATATTCGGTGTTTTCAGGACATTCACACAAACTGGGTGAACAGCGTTCGATATTTCATTCTCGGGCAAGGATCGGAATGCTTTATATCATGCAGTTCAAGTGACAATGATTCCATGTATTTAGGAGATCTCACCAATGTTTCACCTAAGCCAAAGTGGCCTGGATATTCTCAAGCATTTTCAAATAAGTATGATATTTCAGCAGAAATATGAATTTATCACATTGTCGTCATATAACACCTCCTACAACATATTGGAAATTACAAATCGAACTGCAAATTGAGCCATTAACTGTTATTCAAAGTGTACTAATGTGCTTTGCAATATATATTCAAATTTAGCGTTCTAAAAATTATATTAATCGATCGATTTATCAGAACCATGCATACCGGAAGCGACTTCAAATTCGATGGTTATGGTTATTTCTGCGGTGTAATTATGTTATGTTTATGCTTGTGTTTTTTAGCATTAACGCCCATTGGATTACAGGAAGATTAAATGATGTTTTCATAGAAGCACGTAGTAGTTGTTGTACTTAACATTGTATTCCAAGCCCATTCATTATTGAACAACATGATAAAACGAACTTTGTATTCAGGAGTTCCTACTTCAAAGTGAGAAAAGGCATTATTGCTTTTGATTATTGCAAAGATTGGAACGTAATCGGTAAGTACTTTTAAACCAGATGTCATCAAAAATTATGTTCAAAATTTTTATAGTGTTCATTGGGATCGAAACATATCACCTTTCACCGCCTTTGGTAATGAATTAATTAAAAACATGTGCGTGAAGGCCACAGGTGGTTGAGAGCATGCTATATTTTCTCTTCTGTATTGGTTTTAAAATAGAGAAATATAGTTTCCAATGTTTTAGAGCATAATTTTTATTCAGTGACCGGAAGCTTTGATGGAGTTGTTAGAACATGGAGTCCTTATAGTTCGAAACCAGCTTCAATGATAAAGGGCCATCTTACACCCGTACAACACATCATGATCGTCTCATCGTCGGGCCAAGTTATCACAGGAGGAAGGGACAGGGCAAGTTAATTTACAGCTTACAGGTCGCTATATCCATTCCGTCTTCATATCTAAGGTTGTAAACTTTTAGACTATAAGAATTTTAGAACTCCGAGATCATCAGACGACACAGGTTCTTGGACCACGAGCGTTCTTGCGGTGTGGACCTCTGACTCATCCACTACAAGCAATATTTTACCACGGAAAAACCAAATCATTATGGGTTGCTACAATTCAGGTAACAATGACAGGGCCATACTTTAATAAAACGCAATCGCAGCTGAAGTTATATATATATTACCAAATTTGTTCACTCAGGCTATGTGTGATCTGAAATAATTTTATAATCAGGTTGGCGTGTTGGAAGGATATGATGACCGCATTAAAGAAGATAAAATGAATATCAAGTCACACGAGGGAGCCGTGACTTCAGTTTTATACAACCATTTATTCAACCAGGTTATATTTTGAAAATAACTTGATTTTCGATATACCAGGTAAAACTGCGAGTCCCCTCAATAATCTATTTGGATCCCAATTCTTGAATGTTCAACGTGTCAAAATATTAGTCAATCACTGAAAGGAAGTATTGTACCGTTCTAATTAACTACCCTTATTTGTCTGGTTTGTTAGTGTGCAGCAAGACTCTTGAATCACTTAGAATATTCATCGTTATTCTCCCTACAGCTTTCTTGCATTATATGCATAGGGATCCACCGGCAAAAAAACATAGAATTAGGATAAGTAGTTAGTCTCGCAGAAACCAAATTATTAGCGCAAATATTTGCCCGCTGCTAATTTGGCGAAGATATATATACTCAATGTATTCTCAATGAAAGCTGTAATTCAAATTAATGCTTTGCGCATTATATTGCCTGTATTATGTTATATGTCCGCATAGTCTCCAGCACACCTCCTTTACAAATAACACGAAGCAAAGGACAGTTAACAGTGATAATTTTCCACTCAGGCTATTTCAATAATTTTGCTCAGTTCGACATTTTTGCTTCTCGTAAGCTTGTTTAACTGTCGAGTACCCTCTAGTCACCTAGCGCGTCGAATGTTTATTCTATATATATATAATCTGTAGGGAGCCAAGTTGGTTGGTCAACTGCCAAAGCCATAATCCTAGCATATCAATAATAACAGTAATCTGACAATTAATAAATTCGACCTTACAAATTTTTAATTAAATATTTGATCCTTGGGTGTCGCTTTTGCAAACCAGCTTTGTTTCCCCTCGGCTTCCGTTCTCCATTGATTGTGTTCCCCACAAAATTGATCGCTGCTGATTTACCGCAATGTAACGAAAATATCATTAACATAATTATGTAAAACGTTTTTATTGTTGAATGAATACATACATCAATCAGTTTCAACGGTATCTTGCAAAACCCTTTGCTCGAATTGTTCACCTCTTATAGCGTATCTGCTCTTGGAGGTAGGTCATAATCTTTTAAGATGAATATGGCCATGTTTCCACTAAAAATGTTCAACACCAGCACGATATCCATTGGCCAATATTACCTTATCAACGACGTAAAAATTATTGCATTAAAGTGCCTGATGAACATATGTTTTGAAAGGTTGTAACTGGTGGTCACGATTCGATTGTGTCAGTATGGGACCTGAACACAGGAATGAAAGCAATTCAGTTCTACACAGTAAAAGGTGTTGAATTGACAGCAATGACGTTTGATCCAACTGGAAGACGTCTAATCACAGGTTTTAGTTTCCCTAGATGGTTTCATTAAAGAAGGCTAAAAATGAAAAGTTCGATGAATATCTGACGTTACGTCCCATCAATTTCTAACCCAGTCTCATTTACCATGTACATCTGATTATTACCGATTATTATTTAGGTTTCAACTTCAATGTTTTTAAACCTTCAGGCCTTCATATTAGTATATTTATATATTCACATCGGTCGGGTCGTATTGTCTTAATTTTTGCTTGACAGGCTCTGTCAGAGTTTGAGTTACAATGGCTTTCTTTGTATCATATACCAGATTAAAACAGTTATTGCTGTGTAAAATGTGCCGTATATCAGATCATGGTTTTTACTTTTTTGATACAATTTTAAAACTTTAGAAACCATTTCTCAGGTTCTCGTAATGGAGCTGTAAAAATTTGGAATTTTAACAATGGAGCGTGCTTAAGAACACTAGAAGAGGAAACTATGTTGGAGGTTTGTAGCATATAATAGTCCTATTAGTTCCTTGTGCTAAGATCTCATCTAAATACAGCCAGCATTACAACATACATTCTAAGTCTAAAGTCTACACTAAAAAACAACAATAGTTGCTGCATAAAGATAAGTTAATTGTGGGATGACTGTAGCTATTTAGCTATAGTATTTTATGCTTACCTTTCGCTTAATATAGTTATCTCGTTGACGAATCTGAACTGCACTTGGTGCGTCGGTATAGTTTCTGTATGCTGCAGTCTTGATCAGCGTGTAAACAACAAACAAACCACGAATTCTCAATTTCCTTGGAGGCCAAAATTCATCGTCTGATTCGCCGAAGAATTCCACCGGCATCTTCCATCTATCACAGTTTACCGACAATTTTGTTTACGAATATACTCCTGAGCGATTGTAATTTACGAAACCACATTTTCATTGTTTAATTAGTCTAATTAGGCTTGCACGTAATTGACAAAAATCAATTCCGTAATTACGGCAAAATCAATTACGTAATGACCCCGTAATTGCGATATTTTTCCACGCATTTAAACCTATCGTAACAACCAATTGAATCCACTTTTTTTCCGAATGGGACATTGAAGTTGGGTTTTCCTATTCTTGGCAGTACTACACGCCGGCGGCAGATGTTAAAGACAACTATCAAGGAGTGAATTCAAATTAATTTTATTCTGATTTTTATCTTTTGTGTTAGCTTTGGTTTTTCTTTATCACCTTCGCAAATTAACCGTCCCATTTTTATGCGATCAATTTTATTTTATCATTACCGACACTGGTATACGGATATTTATGGAAACGATAGTTTTTTAAAACCACCTGAGTACTGAATAAAAATTACGGGTTTCTAATTTATTAACCAACAACGATTTCTCGCGACGAAGACTTGTTTTTGCAGCGTTTTCTGCATTATCCGACATTACTGCCTTGTTAGCATTTTTATAATAATAATTATTGATGTCGACTTATTGACGATATTCCTATTACCATGCTTCATTTTACATTCAATCATTTCGCGGACTGAATGTTTATAACATTATTTGCGATAAATTTAGATCAAATATTATTTATTTGCGTATAATTTAAATACCGAACTTATATGACATGCCTTCTCCGAAAATACAAAGTTATATCGCAAAACAATGCATTTTGTGACATTTATTTTACACTTCACAACATTTATTTGCTAACTCAAGTCGGCGATCCTATCGGCCAATGATTGACAAAAGTTTGGTCGAGTGCCGGTGGTAATTCAAGTCGACGATAAATCAAAATAAGTTGCCCGGCATTTGGTAAGACAGTTTAATCATATATGGCCGAAATATTGAGAGAATTGGTGAAAAACATCATGAGCAAGGCCAAGTCCGGACTGAATATATAACCGATAAAACCGTTAACAGAACATCAAGATTTTGTAATAGAAAATGGATATCGCACAGAATAAACACACAGGCTCATATTTATTTATATATGATAGCAAGTTAAATTTTCAACGGTTCGCGAGGAATCCGTCGTTTTGGTTCATTACGGCAATCTCTTTTTGTCGTCATATTGCTATTTGCATAATGCGCGACATTAATTATCATGGCGAGGTATTGGCGCGAGTGATCAATCGCTCTTTTCGCTTATTTGGGTTCGAATTCGTCGCGAAGCTCTTCGTTAAATTTCACAAGATAGTCGTGTTGAAAGGTTATGGATATTTTCCTGTTTATACCCCAAGTCTGAAATGAAACAGCAAAAATAATATGATATTCCATGTTCAATATATCAAGTGTTGATATTAACAATAAAAATGTTAAGCATTGCTAATCCACAGTTGGTGGGGGAATTCCCACTATTCAAACGCGTGACTATAAAATAGAATAAAATAGAAACGGAACTAATATACCATAAGTAACGGAAAACTGAAACAAGTAAATAATAAATAAAAGTAAAATGGATACAAATGTTTGATAGACCATGTTTGATAGATTGATCTCCTGCGTTCATTAGTCATTTCACCCGAAGAAGTTGAAACCGGGCGTGTTAGCGTCCATCTGTCTTAACACAATTCTTCCCCCTATCTACGGTTATATGTACATTGGCCATGGCCATGCTAGATAAGATGCGAGAGAATTGAAACCAGGTGTGTTGGCGTCAATCGGTCTCAACGCAATTCTATCCCTTATCTACGGTTAAGTTGCGGGAGAAGTTAAAACCAGTGTGTTGGCGTCAACGGCCCTACTCAGTTCTTGCCCCCATTATACTACGTTAATAATTTACATTGGCCACGCCAGATAAGTGAGATAATAGGTTAGTAAATGGCAACGCGTCATGCCTTCCTTCACCTACGTAACAAGAGAGAGAAAAAACGGCTGCGAATACCGGAACTCTACTTCTTCTACTTGTTGAGCTTTCATTTTCGCAATCGACGAAATTGACTGCTTTGAAGAAAGCTCGTTTCATGCAATAATTACGACTTTACGTAATTCGTAACTTCCCTTCCGTAACTCCAAATAATTACGTAATTCCGTAAATCCGTAAATTACGTGCAAGCCTAAGTCTAATCATCAACGCGTATGCACATCTTATTAATTAGTTAGTTTTGGGATTCGTGTGAAAGCCAGATGGCTTCATTGCACCTTGTTTACAACTATTGCTTATTGTTATTGAGGGATATAGTATTGGGTATATCAGAGTATAAATATATGTACAAACACCGAGCCTGCGTCGCTAACAGCTTAAGTTTGTAGATTGACATTTTCAGACCATCATTTTGGATCTAGTTAAATTAGAGTTACATAGAAACAGCTTTTGGTAAAGTGTTGTCATGTCAAGTCCGTCTATAGAACTTATTTCATCAGATACAGATATTTAATATAATCGTGCGAAAAAATGTGCGCTATTAAACCGTGAATATAACACAAACTGTGTTTAAAAAATATACAATCTCTCATAGCAGTTTACGCGAGGTCGGTGAAAGGCTGGTGGATCCGTAGAATCAGATACACTCAAATGATTACAAGAACCGTTAATGGCGCTTTGGCGCACCAATGAACACACCTGAGTTGTCGGTTCATTGAATTGCCAACACCGTTTTTCAGATAAAGCTGCTTTGAACCAATCAAATTTATTTTTGAAGAATTCGTTTTGTTTGTATCGCGCAAAACATGCTGTTTTCGGTCATTAAATATTGGCGCATGTTTTGTCGAGATAAATATTTCCATTCTCATTTCCTCTATGATATATCAAACTATATTCAATATGAACTAAACAAAACGCAGTTTTATTAGCCATGATTGAAAGCAGACATAAAAATTTATCGAGTGTTACCTAAAGAGAGGCGTTTCTGTAATAGTACAATTAGGGTTGTGCAACTAGTTCAACCACGACAAATACGTTGAATAAGACAGTATATTTATTTACAACTAATTGCAGATGGAAGCGGGCAAATTTGCGTAATCTATTCCAACCTCAAAATAAAAATCGGAACTCTACGCTAACGTGATGATTTATTTGAAAGTCCAAAATAGCAAGGCAAAATAAAAGCGACAAAGAACCTACTAAGTTGAATTAAGTTAAATAATTATGGACTACATATACATGATATTTTATGCAAGGAGAGAAATAGGTTTAGGTTATTTTCAATCCTGTAACTGCATCGTAGAGATTTTGTTGAATCAAAACTAAATACAATAATTAATAATTAGCCAATGATATGTATTGTAAAAATTGTTTGCAACTAAAATGACAAGAGCGAATAATATCCTATTTTCTAATTTCTAGATCATTGCTCAAACTCAATACCATCAGTCACCCCTTCTGGGATATAAATTTTTGATCCGGATTTTAATTTTAATTATTTGTTTCTCAGGTAACTGGGATCGTTTGTCTCAGACAAAAAATTATTGTAGCGGGATGGAACAAAATTCCAACAGTTTATATGTAAGTGGTTATATGCACAAAATCAATTTACACGTACTGTATGTAAACGTACCAAGTCGTTTGTCAGTAGGAAGTTAGAAGATTCTTTACTTTCATATTATATACATATTTTACGTATTCACATTACTACTTATTTTATAAAACTACAATAGACTCTGATAGTTATATACATCAGACTTTTCAATACTTTTGATTTATTTTCACGGCATTTTTTACTATAAACGATAAAACTGAATATTCAATACATCGAAATGCGGGTCTATTTCAAACTTCGTTAGAATAGTGTACATGCAACAGTTGGCCGGCGCTAAAACAGGAATCGTGTGTTCATTACGAGCGAGTACATTTCGAATTGACAGTGACAGTCGTGGCGAAGATGACGACGAATCTCACCAGTGGGCGGAAGTTCACAAAGAAGATATTTTATGCATGGCAAAATATCAGAATCTATACGGAACCGCAATAGTAGCGTCTGCATCTTACGATGGAGACATTTTTATATGGTCCGTCGACACAGGTACGCAACTCGATAATTTTAAATGGAAATTATTTCATTCCAGTTTCGGTATAGGATGAATTGGTTGTTGAAGTGTTATAATATACCATTCTACGTACCTAATTCTAATTCCCATACTGTCAAGAATCAAATATTGAAATAACATGTGTCATTTAGATATTAAAATTTAGCCTCTCGATAAAACGCATTTTCACTTTAGTCAGTTTAACATCATATTCAAATTAGTACCCCAAGCAGCAAATATACACCTTTTATAGGCCACGTTCTTTGTCGAATGAATAGACTTGAATCATATTCGCCTCTCAGTATTGAAGGACATAAAATGACACCAGTAATAAAAAGGAGAGCACCAGAAATCAACCTGAGAAAGAGCATGAGTGATATATCAGTGAGTTTATTTTTTTCAAATTTGTTCATGTATCTTGGAAATATCAAAGCAAAATCACAAACATCACATGAAAAAAGATTTGCATGAAAAACTATGTTACCAGAATTTCATATAATTTCCAGACAAATTCTACGGAATCACTGTCACAGTCACACTTGACGACACCAAGGAGATGTGGGCTGAGGTCATCGGCTTTGTTACTTCCACCAATAACGACTACCAACCCTGTCGAAGATCCAGGTTTGTCTTTCTGAATGATTAGTTTTTCATTTCATCAAATATGAACGACATATCAATGTAGTGCTTCGATACGCAAATGTTTTTTTCTGTGCTCTCGCAGCAAACCATAGAGAATCTTGTGAAAGTTTCAATCTTTTGTTGTGTCACACACTAAACATAAAATTGCGTATCTAATTTTTTAGATTCACCCAATGGCGACGAAATCAAACCTGGCAATATATTGAAAGAAAACACGAAGGAAACTTCAAGGTAACACGGGTTTAATAAAAAGCATGATCATCCTGACTACAGTGCTGTACCACTTTGATCTCAAGTATATCATTAATATTAGTATTGTTGAAGTTGGTTTCACATTTCAAATTTACCAGTAAAGCAAAATCATTATGATAGATTGCAAATTATATTTTGCCTTAGGAATTCGACGCCAAAATCTGTGAAATTCAATCTACCAGAAATAGTGACACCTTCTGCTGGTACGTCTTCAAAAGAAGATAAAATCCGTCACCAAGTAAATATTGTGACAGGACAAGACGATCGTGACTACTGGGAAGCCGATGTATCTATCGATAAGGTAGTAACCTATATAAAAAACAAAATATTATATTCCGTTGAATAGCCTCTGTTTTTTTCCGAAAATCTCTGCCTTGTTTTTATGTCAGTTGATAGTTAAATGGTATTATTCATTCAAGCTCGCTATATATTGATTTGTTTTGTCAGGATATACTATACCAACATATGATTTGAAACACGCTTCAGCTTGCTTGCTCAAGATTGCTTGTAACATTATTCATCCAGCTAACAACAAATTAGTGTAGTTGTGGGTTAATTTGCTTGCTCAAGATTGCTTGTAACATTATTCATCTAGCTAACAACAAATTAGTGTAGTTGTGGGTTAATGTTTACATATTAATTTTTTTTTCTTCAGCTTTTGTTTCTACAAAATAGACCACATGAGCCACAGACAGCCACAATGATTGCTGCTGGTGCAATGGGATGGGTTTATGCTTGGTCAGTGCATCCCCAGGTTTGTACATTTTTGAAACAAGTTCATTTTCATTCAGCGAATTGTAGGATAGTATTTATGAACGTTGGGGTTACGCGCAAAGGCCCAGGGTAACCTTTTATTGACAGACTGTTATTCTTCTATTGGCAGTGGAGAAACCTCTATTAGTCGTGTTGTGAAAATTTTGCAATTTTATTATCATCTAACCATAGTGGCTTTGAGTGTTAGTGGCTTTGAGTGTCGGACCTAACACTGTTGATATCGCAGGCAGTGTATATCGGCTTCAAATTCCATGCCCACTACCAATGTAAATTTGGCAGTAAGGCTTCCGGTATGTCGCAATCAGTATAAAATCGACTTGAACAGTCTCCAATCCACTGAATTTCTTAATACAGGGAGGGCTGCTCGGGCAATTTGTTGGTGCACAGATAGATGGAGACACCGTGTTTTCGATGGCAACAGATAAAGCAAATAAGTTTCTGATTACGGGTGACACGTCTGGATATGTCAAGGTATTATGGTATTCAGCGCATTAAAAAACAAAACAAAATATCATACCAGCCATCTTCCATATTTTTTCAGATGTGGGAGGTAGAAAACTATTGCTATAAAAAGAGAAAGAACAGTAGAATAAAAAATCTTGTTGCCCCGACATTCAACATGGACGACGGTCAAATGAGGTTTGCAAATTTATCTGTTAAATTTACGTGATTCAGTGAATGGGTATTACTGTGCAATTCACGAATTGATCTATATAAAAAAAATTCATCGCCATGTGAAAGATCACTGTAAATGCTTCAATTTTTATGTAAATGCTAGAACGTACTAAAGTAAACAGAATATCCTGCCATACTGTCGTTATGAACAGCGACGGAAAGAAAATATTCATTAGAAAAGAACATACTGACATTAAAAAAACTAACAATTTGTAAAAACCATCCGAGCTTATTGCTCTATATAACAATGTAAGAACGTAACATATTATTATACTTCATGTATACTAACGTATGTAGCTACGTGAGCTGCGTTGACATACCACGCTTTTCCAAAATATAGTACATAACTCTAGTTTAAATTATATGTTATTGTATTGCAGAGTTTTGTCCGTTCGTCGCATGATGAAACTGAACCTGATTCCCCCTGAACTGGCGTTTTATTTTCGTGCTCACATTGGGTCCGTGACGGACATTACTTTCATAGATGATCAAAATCTGATATTAACATCCTGTGGTGATGGCACAGTGCGACTTTGGACTGTAGGTGGTCAATACGTTGGTAAGTGTATTCATATATTTCTATATTTCAGCTTAGAAATCTTCAGCTACTTTTGATGAATCCTCTTCCAATAAAATGTAGCTTTTCTCTCAAAGTATAGGACCAATTGCTTTCGTATTCCAGTAGATTTTTATATTTTACCCGAAACTCCGCCCATTGTTTCACGCCGTAGTCATAACCAATTAGGCTACCACACCTAGTTACAGGGATGATTCTATAATACTCTGCATTTATCACAATTTGTGTTCTGTCACAACGCCAGTCACTCTCAAATCAATTTTTATGTAATAATATAAACAATGTTTAAATTATTTGAATATTGTCATGCAATATCTTGCAATTCAAAAGAGTGCTGGTGAAAATCTTTGCAAACTTCGATTCCTTGTCGACAGCACTGAACTGATGCACCTACTGCGCATTATTCTGTTTGACAATATCTTATTTTTGCAAGGAACATTCGGACAAAAACAACCGTGGCAACTCGGAAAGAAACTGTCGACCTGGAAAGTTCCAGCAGATATAAAAAGAGTGGCATCCGCAAATACATTGAAGGAATGTATACTCAAATTCATTAATTCATTAAAAGAATTGATTTCAAATATTACAGCTAACTATAGCCTTAGTGATATCGAAATATTATCTATTCCAAAGTTGCTTGAAGAGGATTTAATTTTTTTGTGTATGATATATTGTATGGTTATCGTTTTTTTTTTTATTTATTCAGGTGTTGCATAGTGGCCATAGTCCTTGGAGGTTGGCGAAACATATACTTAACTTTGTCAGCTTGAGTTCGAAAGTTCATCATTCATTCGATCATTCTCATTCGGATGATAATTTGGAACATGATGACTTCAAATCGGTGTGTATTACCTAGACCAGGGGTGTCAAACTCGCGGCCCGCGGGGCGCATGGGGTCCCATGGAACTTCCAATTCGGCCCTCGAACGTTGAACAATAATTGTTATATTCTGTAAGATTTTTTATATAAACGTGATACATTTTTCAAACCTTTCAAATTGAAATTGATTATCTACACAGAAAACGACAATTTACAGAAAGTATTTTTTTTAAATTACAAATTTTCTTGTTCTCGTTCTGACCCGATTATGGATACACTTCAAGCTAGCAAATAAATACTTGAAAAAAAAAACTTCCATGATTAAAAAGAAACGCAAAGTACATTAAGAAGGTCCTATTTTTCAAGAAAAATGGGAGTTGCAATATTTCTCAAAACTCAAAGCACACTGTTTGATTTGTCACTTTTCCATCAGTAAAATAGAAAAATACAATATAAATAGACAATATGACAAATTTAAAGATCAACTTCAAACTATAAAACTGTTGCAGTTAAAAGCACAGCTAAATCAGCAGCAAACCTGCTTCAAAACAATCTGTAAAAGTAACGTTGCCAATTTTTCAGCCAGCTATGAACTTAGCCAGATGGTTGCAGTCTCTGGAAAGCCTTATAGTTTTATACTGATGGAGCTTTCATAAAAAATTGCCTTGTAAAAACAATTAAAACTTTTTGAAAATTTATCGTTGACAAGAAATGCAGTTGCTACTAGAATTGATAAGATGTCCTCAAATTTAAAAGAACAAATAAAATTTGCTACTGCTGACTTCGAATATTTTTCCTTAGCAATTGATGAAATGTGTGATATATCAGGCACTGCACAACTTGCGGTTTTTATTCCAGCTTGTGACGCTAAGTTACAAATAAGGTAGGAATTTTTTAAATCAATCAAACATTCTCAACGATCCAAATTATCCGATGATCATGTGACCTCGTTAATAAGAGTTGGTAGCCTACTGTAAAATCATTTCAGCCTGATATTAGTAAGCTGGTGGCCCAAAAGAGATTCCACACGTCAGGACAAATGTAATAAAAACATTAGGTTTATTATGTATTTTGTCAATTTTAGGTCTATATATTAAAATTAAGTCATTTTTAGTGTATGTATTATTCTTTTTTTATCACAAGTTTGTTCAAAAATGTTTTGGATAGTTGTATAGGAAAATTTATGATTTTTTGTAATAAATACAGCAATAAATTGCAATAATAGTGAAATGCAAGAAATTAATATGCAAATGGCATTTTAAATTTAACAAAATAGCTAAAGTTTAATTGGCTGTTTAATTACATCACAATATGTGTCACAAACCACACCTATCTAAAAATATGCTTCAAGTATACAATATCAAAATATATGAAAAACTGTTTGCGGCCCTTGGCACAATTCCCAAAATGCAATGCGGCCCTTGAATACCCACGAGTTTGACACCCCTGACCTAGACCACTCACGAATGCTAAGCCCTGTTATCTTCCATTTATTCGAATACGACAAAATTCTCTTCTTTTTGTCATGTTTATTGTTGAGCCTTTTTAATAAATAGGAACAGGGGAATTTGACAAGTGTTTAAAAATAATTAATTCCTGAAATTGGATCAATACGATACACTGATTCTCATGCAATGAGTTATATTTGAAGTTCAGATCACAAATGGGCCATTCCAAGCAAAAGTTGAATTCCATCAATTTTTTAAAAAGTGTAGTGAAAGTAATTTTTTTGTATTTCTGATATCAAAAGACATTGGAATTTTATTGGACTGCATTCATTTCATCGAACAATTTAAAATTTCACCCAGGTTTTTCATGGTTTATAAAAAATGGCCTGAAATGCAGAAATTTTGGTATAATTGACATATTTTGTGATGATTCCTGACACAAAGTGTTTGATTGTGTGGTACAGTTATTTCATATGGAATTGACGCACTGGATTTAAGTTAATAAAGTTTGAATGTTTGCAGTGCTGTAGAACATTTCTTCACCCATTTAACGATTTATTACCAGAATTTCAAGAGATGATAGATGCCGCTATTCCGAAGTGGAAAAATGTCCGTAGTGTCACGTCCTGTAGTGTCACATACAATATGCACATTATTGACATGGATTTACAGTGTTACATTAAGTAACTTGAGCAACACATAGAGGGGTAGTTCAGCTACTGCACTAGAAAATATTATGGGCTCCTACTGTACCATCACAAAAATTTACAGCACAACACAACGTACTGTTAGTGCATGGTGGATTTGCCGTCCTGTAGTGTCACGCTATATTTTACTATATTTTTTTTATCTACTAAGTAAGGTTGGGTGTAACTTTTGTGCAATTTTTTACATATTCAATAAAGCAACTGATTGGACAATGAAACAAAACATGTAGCTGAAAATGTAAAAATATATTGAATTTAACAACATGCAAAATTTGTGGAATTGTCCTGTAGTGTCACTTGGAATAGCCCAAATGCGTGTGATATCACTAGCCGAAAGAATAATCCTATGTAATCGTACTGAATTAAACTTTTGTCTATTTTTTTAAGATTTACCACAAACTTGTAACAGAAGAAGAACAAATAACCGAAGAAGAAATTGAAAAAAATTATCAGAAGTGTTTAAAAAAATTGAAATCCAGTGACGTTCTGGGAAAGAGTTACAAACGGAAACGGCGACACAGAATTTTGCCAAAAATTGACGTTAAAAACCATCTGAGCAATGTAAAGGCCTGTTTATCGATTTTTTGTTCTTGTTACCAGTTTTGATCGGGCTTGGGCCGGTAATTTTTGTCTAATAGATAAGCACCCAAAGGTGCAGTACAGCCGTGGTGAGGAATTGAATTTATAATATGATCATTCGCAAAGCCAATCATATACGCCTTTTGATTTAGTTTGAGAATCAAACATGGATGTAATATTTCACTCATTTTCATGTTTCAGTTCCACGTTCACTCTGCAATACCGTTTTCACCGCTAGAAGATACTGACGTGATACCGCTTCCAGAAATATTGCAAGAGAAGATGATGAGAGATTACGTGAGTTACACACAGGAAGAACATGCAAATTTCGTGTTCAAATAGTAAATAGTATGAATAGGATGATCTTCACAAGTGTAAAATTGAACATTTTTCATTTGAGTACTTCAAATATGCATTATAATATATATTCAAATGTCATGCCTATAATTTATGAAATTCCAGTTTAATGATATTAAAATGAGCTTCCCTGGCGGCTTAGGCGCTGGCCAATAAATGCCAACCACTAGAAGACGCAATGCGGTTGCGGTTGCGGAAGACGCAATGCAAGTTAGCGATAATGGATCACTTCAGTTACATGGTTTCTACGTTGACTTATACGTGAAAATGTGGAGTCATACATATATAGTTATGATGCACGTTCTGCTTAAACAAATATGTATACATTGTTGATTATAGAGCTGATACTCGTTCATGCCATTAATGTCCGATAACTGAATTATTCTGAAATTTTCAACAGGGAACGGATCAAGATAATAAGACTCGGTCCGGAAAAACTCCTGTCAGAGGCCCTAAGCTTTCCGTCCCTGTTAGGCGGAGAGGACCCAGATCACAAGTTACATTTGTAGGAGCAAGTAACAGGATTTCTAAAGCAATCAAACTAACTAGGTGAGATTTACATAACTTTATATTGATATCAATATTGAATCTATGTTTAACATGATTAGCTTGAAATTGTCAATAGAATTCTATAAACCCTCTGCGTCAAGTTAAATGTGAATTAGAACAGATTCTTGTGTGCTGTAGAATCTAGATATGGAATTCTTTTCATTGCAGAAAGCGTTGATTCAAAACTTCTTTGTGCTTTAATAAAGCTTTTTTTCAGACCCTCAAAATGAAGATTCATCAATAAGAATTTCTATTTGAAAATTTTCAAAATAAAATTTGAAGAAAAAAAATCTTCAACTTGGTTTGGTAAAAAGGTAGAATGCAATCTCGTGTGGGAATGTCGTAACCTTTGCAAAAATCTGTAGTCTGTTGTGAGAATGTTTTTGTGAAGTGTCAGAAACATAACGTAATCTTCTATAATTAGTATGTGGTATGACACGGGATTGAATCTCCGGTCGATTTTCTCTACTTACACACTCATCGAAGGTTATGCAGATCACATGCACGGTGCCAATGAAGCTGTTCAGCTGTGTCATATATTTGTACAGTCCAATATTGCTGAACCAGACTATCGGTGCACATTACAGACCACTAAACGAAAGACAAAACACACTGGTATCCCGCTTAAAGCAAAGCTAGCGTGAACTGTACGTAGCCAATTCGCGATGTCGAATATCAATGATTCGTAAACAAACTTGCATAGCCACATATGAACGTATCATGTGTAAATATATTGTAATTGTCATTGATAAATATGTAATAACCATATTTTAAGAGATTCCTGCTGGTTAAAGTTGCTACTGCTCTATTCGGAATTGGCATATGGACTACAGATATTCAGTTTTAATACCTCCTATTGGCCCAACATCAACTTGTCTTGACTTTGCTCACGTGAACCCCGACTTTTGATCAATTGTCTCTTGGCCGATATACTTGTTCAGTGGAATAATACCGGCATACATAAATGTTGATAATGCAATATACAGGCAAATACCTAATTCGCATGTATTTTTTTCCTGAATCATTATTTAGTTTAAAACTTAAATCTCTTATCCACTGATCTCCTCAGGTGGCTCCGTTAGTCAAAAATAACCGGGCAACGAGAATTTTAGATCCGTACACAGATATAAATATTCAGTGGCATTTTGCGGGGCAAAAGTAGTACACGTATACAAGTGTCGATAGCGTAGAAAAAGAATATCGTCGACCCCAAGCAAGTAGAAGACTGCGGTGACTGCCATGTCGAAATTCTCCGGCACTATTGTTATAAAAACCTTACCTGGCGAGATTCAATTCTAACGGCCCTGATGGCGGAATACAGCGGAGTTGGAGTCTCGCTTATTGGCTTGTTCAGGGGGAACGTGAAAAACTTTTAGTTTTAGCATAGGGCATTGTCATGCAAGTCGCGTCTGAAAAAATTCTGTCCTTACTGGTAGCAAGGTTGGGGCTATTGATCTCAACTTACAGATCCGATCAGGTAATACCGATTACAATTACATTTTAATGCGATCACATAAAAACATCTTGAATAAAAATGAGTATACCATTTTTTGTCTCCATAACGCCTTGATTCCCAATTGCCATTTACTTTATATTCTATTTATGAGTCGCGTATGCTAAGCAATGGAGATGTGGGTAGAATTCATTGTTCCTTCCTCATTTACGCCGCAAGTCAGCACACTATACCTTCAGTCAACTTCTAATTGTTTACTCAACTTGACAAATAACATGATGTCACACAAAATACTAATGTATGGTGATACGTATGAAACTTGCTTTGCTTTTATGATGTCTCGACTTGTGTATTTGCGTTAGTTACAAACATATGGCCTGATCAAATAAACGGAACTACTTTCGACTTGGACATAAAATGAGAGGGAAAGTACGTGAAGTTATGAACAAGAGTTCGCTTCATATGGACAAAAGATAACTTGACTGTTTATAGTTTTTGTGAAGCAGTTTCTGACTATAGATATAGAATGTATTTGTTTGTTAGGATATGAGATTGTTCAAAGCTATCTAGTAGGCAGCGGAGGTTAGGATTTCTTCAATTTTAATTTGCCAATCGAAAAGTATTCGAATAAAAGCATCACGCATGTCGGCACTTAGCGAATACAAAAATTATCCGAGAAGGACCAATAAGTATGCTTATTCTAACAATGTTTTTTATGTTTTCAATTTTGTTATCCGTTTAAATAAGTCGCAATAAAAAACATGATCAATATTTGGTATGCCTGATATTGGTATCCAGAAGTATCAGCATCGGCCATTTTCAATTATCAAAATACTGGTGATATGCATGCCTATTCACGATGATAAGGCATTGACGATTGCAGGCCAACGAAACGCCGAACTTTACTCTCTTTCGGCGATGTTCGCGACGCCGGCGGAAATTTGATTTGATTACGTTCGGCGCGAGTGAAACTATTTCCACGGACTACTTACATTACACAAACCTACTTTTCAAAAATTGAACACTGCACACGATCCGAATCAAAATACGCCAGGTAAAAAATTTTCCGCCAGCTTTGGATAAGTTACCTGTAGCGTTGTTTTTTTCGAGAATTATTCTTGTTGTGTGTGTGACAGAGGCAGTGTCTGTGTCAGTTCGCTATCCCTCATCGCTTTAACGATTTAGTTACTTCAATGTTATCTTTTTACAAAAGCACTGGATGCTATTAACGCGTTACTTGCCGTATTCAGACAGTCGCTCGACTGGGTATTTTAACAAAGAATCTATTGTCAGATGATTTTTGTTTAAACAAGAACAATCGATTGTTTTTCTTCATATTTACCAAGTCGCAAAAACATTTCCTGTGTGTCTGTTCAAGGATACAATTCTCAGTAATGCGTGTTCCATGTATAGGGATACCATTGTTTTTTTTTGTGGTATTTCAATAATTATGAGAGTCATTACCTAAATATCGATAGATAGGCAGTTTTTATACTTTAGGTAATTTTAGTATAATTCAGTGTATATACTATACTAAACTGTACGACTTTGATCGAACGGTATCTCTCTCGCAATTGTATCAAGTTTATATTAAGTTGATAAATACCTATTGTCCAAGCATCAGTTGTCATTGGAGTGAATGGATTCAGCTTTCGCAACTTTATCGCTTTTTCTTTTGTTATCGGCTGCATTATATAAAATATTGAATCAAATAATTCCCTGGAAACTTTCCAAAGAATGAGTAACTTAAATCGATGAATGTCAATTGCGTAGTTTAGAACAATGAAACAATTGTAAACCCTGATTTTTTTAACAAATCGAACAAGAAACGAATCAATTTTCTTGGTTTTTCGAAACTCCTTCCAGCCTTAGTTCAATGAATACTTTTTATTTGAAAACAATTTTACATATTGTACCCTTCGCAGATCATAACAAAACCGCTTTTGCTATAGACAACTCGCCTCCATTTATTGTCCAAATATTTATATTTGTAATACACAGATTGTTAAAGTGGATAGATAAATCATAGGTAAAACAAAGGTTTTATTTGTTTCATTTATGTTTTTGCAAAAATCGTGTTTTTTCTCAAGTAGTTTCAGCTTTCTTGTTCAAACAATAAAGTTGTTAAGATGTTGATTCATTGTATGTTTTTGGAACGAAAGATATTATTTAGTCCATCCATGCTTTGGTCCAAGCTGACTCCTACCAAATAAAATGAAAAACTCCGCCAATTGCAAGTAAATTGCCTGTGAATGATGTCTATAAATTTGTGACAAACTGAACAAACAGCAGAACTTTAAGCACTTTACGTTGACTCTCATCGTATGATTTCAACCCGATTTTCAAAGTAGACATAAAATGAGCGGTTAAACTATTCAGCTAAGTATTTTGCCTTAGTTTAATTCATGATTCGTAAGTTTTGTATATAATATCCGTCTGGGTTCCGAAATAAATTGAACAAAAGCAGATAGGAGTTAGATTTGCAAGCAAACTATTCTGATGCCTACTATACTGAGTTTATATTATATCAATTGTTTACATGGATGATATGGTCAAGCACATTTTGGTTATAGGTTCGGAAAATACTGAAAAACAGCCGGCAGTGTCGCTCCGTTTGTTCCAATCTTTGTAAATACACGTTGAAACATTCGGTCGCTAGTTCACTTACCAAACGATTGCCGAGATCTAAATATACAATGTACGTACACAATGATAGTATGATATCTCCGCTTGTTTGTCAGATTTGATTCATCGCGGTAGGTTTCTCATCCAACTTTGGAACCAAAAATAAATCATGACCTCTGTTTTATCTATCAGCAACACTAGTTGTTTTGTAGTCTACTAATCTAGTTATGTACAACATGAATGTTAACCGTGGTCATTCTATCTTTGTCTAAGCTTGGACAGAACATTCTATTCGAGACTACATTACACACCTGGAGGTCTCACTGGAGTATGAGCCACCGCATATGATTAATGCTTTATGTCTGTCGGTCGAATGTATTTGAATGGCGTTTCGGACAACTTACCAGTATCATTATCAAGATAGCATAACTATGATATTATAGAAGAACTTCGTATAGAAACAGTGGTTCACAATCTGCTATTAACCGATAAGACGCTATTCTGTCAGGAGGTATATGTAATGAAAAGTGTGAATCAGTGTGAGCTTACTAAACGCTGACATTGTAATATAGTTTTTGAACATCTAATATGTTATACACATATTTATCATAGTAGTTATTGCCTCTGCGCCTGCGTCCGAGTGACTTCACTCGCTTTCGTGCGCCAGAAAAAATATGTAGCCATGTCTCCAACCTGTATTACAAAAAATTCCTCTTTCGTGCAGTTACTCTTTCATGGGACCGACTACAGCACGTTCTGTAAACACTTTTTGACACTGTGTTAACTGGTGCAATGTCCACAAATGTACATTATCATTTAAAAAGTGAGTTAAGGTTGTAACTGAAAAATTTAATTATCTTATAATAAGCACGTAAACTAAATTTGGTCTATAGATACTGTCAAATTTAATCAACAACTGTGG